TCTTTTCTCATTTAGCTTCATAATGAAAGTGTTAATTCACACATTATTAATGTTAGAGAAACTTGTTTCTGGCACTGATAGATTTGGTTCTCTAAACTGAGATAATGCGGGATAATGTAGACGGCTGATGTCAGATGGTAAAAAAAAGGGAATTTTGTACTGAATTACATCACTTTTTTACCTTTGTGAACCCAAAATGCTTTGCTCTGCTTTTTTCCAACAGTCCTGCCTGAGTCTGCCCCTGCTATCCTCTGCTATCATCTCTGTTAGGGAGGGAGTAAGAAGAGATAAGAATGCACGAATGAGTACAACAGATCAAAGGTCGGCATCAACTTTCGCTTTCATTTAGTATGGGGCTTTTTTCTTCTGTGGACAGAGCGCTAAGTACCCAACCGTAAATGGGTGCGCCCTAGCAATAAGTTTTATTTCCGTAAGGTTTGGTTTATATATACCTACACTAAGACTACCCTTATTTTGCTGATATGGTGTGAAATACAGGGCTGTACCCATCGCCTCAAAAGTGAGGAGGACCAATTTTTAGCTGCCAAACTCTGGTGAAAGGGTACTGTTAAGAATAACAGAAATAATAAAATGTGACAATACAGAACGGTAAAATTATTTGAGATTAATAAAAAATAGAGAAAAATTGCCTGACCTGGAGGAGACCCAGCTCAAAGCTTTAGGCTTATTGCTTATTTTAAATCTTAAAATATGAAATAACGATGAAGGGCAGAGATCATTTCATTTCATAATGATCATTTGGAGGGGACATATGTCCCCACAGGATCATTATGAGTGAGTTCAGCCCTCATCTGTCTGTCAGACCGAACATTAAATCAAAGCCCAGTCTCTGCTCTGCTCTCATTTGTAGGATAAACAACTCATTTGTGTTGAGCTGTGTGGGGCCAAACGGTTTGTGGCTAAGTAGGTAGTAATGGAAAAGTGTCCCTTGTATCTAGTCCACCAAATGGGTGCCATTTCCATCCCCAGGTGAACACAATCAGGAATCAGGGAAGACGAACAGACTGGTGTCACATGAGGAAGGGCAAGTGATCTGAAACGAAAGGAGAGTCATCTCTAAAATAAAACAGGAAGTCACGAGTCAACTAAAACCCAGAACAAGACAGATCTCACCGTGGTGTGACCATGATGTGTGTTTACTTTTTTGATTTGACATAATTTTCGAGGTATCAAAATGAATATTGAACACATTTGTGAAGACATTAAAGTTTGGTATATGTTTTTGTGGATATCCTTTTGTGGATATTGAATGTACCTATTAATATCATAAGGTTTAGTGAGAAGAAAATTGCTTTATCTCTAAGATTGAATTCTGAAACAGTATCTTTTGCTGTCATATGCTGTTTAGTTTTACTGCAGATAGAATTTTCCATGTCTCTTCAAAATACAGATGACGATGAGCAAATACTAAACAAATGTAAAGTTGTTTCTGGCACATCAACACAAAAAGTTTTTTTTTTTTTCAATTTCAGCTAACCTAGGCACTCATTTCTTATATGGGTAAATGTTATGTAAAATTTTAAAGTGGACCTCTCTAATCTTATTTGAAATACAGAACTATGAGAGACAAAACCGAGTCCTGCCCCAGTTTAGATAATCAAACTGTGAATTCCAATAAAACCTTCTGGGAAAAATCTTGTTAAGTCTCTGGAATACTTTTCTTAGATGATTATTTGTACATTTTTCATCCATTAAGTCAATCCCATCAATTTTTATAGAAGGTTTCTGAACATTTGCCTTCATAAGGTCAAACATCTGTCAGTAAAAAAATCTCTTTAAAGCCAGTTAGTGATATACATTGAGGAAAATACTGAACACCCTGCATACGTTTGAGGCTTTTATCAGTTCCAAACTAATTTTCACACACTGTAAATTGTCATGGAACTTTAGTAAATGACCAAGCTTCAGATAAACAAGAAACAACACGACAAACAGGCTGTTAAAACATTTATTTTTAGTAATTTACCTGTTCATTTACTACAAAACAACAATGTGCTTTCAACTGTGGTTTATTTTAGACACCAGAAAGCTTCTCTGGACACAATATTCAACCAGAAAAAATCTGCTGATGGACAATGAGCAAAAAATCTGATGCATTAAAACGTTTTATTAAAAGCAGATTTTTAGTAACAAACATAAAACACAGATATTTTGTGTTAGGACACAATCTGAAATAATAGTTAACTTTTATCTTATTTTGCAGCTTTTTATCCAGAAGCAGATTTTCGATGAATAATGGCCCCAGTGAAGCTGTCTGTGATACATATTTCACAGATCATTTGTCAGTCCGCGCCTTTTAAAGGGATTATTGCAGGCAAAACAAAAAACAGAGTGTGCCAAAACACTGAAGAGCCAACAGATCTGACCTGTATACTGTATATATATATTACAGCAATATATATATTACAGCAAAACATGCTTATTTTCCTTTTCTTTTTAATCAACCCAATATAATTATTTAAACTAAAACATCTGGCATACTCTGTTTTTCGTTATAAACGGCCTCTTAAAAGAAACACTGCACAAGGACACACTGTTTTCAGGTCCACGCTCACGTTAAGGAAAAGTTTGGTTCATACTGATTCACACGCGCACAATCTCTCACACACACACACACACACACACACACACACACACACACACACACACGTATAGGCATACACATATGGCACAGAAATATATCCCCCTCCATCGCCCAGACGGAACAAAGTTCAAGAACATGTGGCCTTTCTTAAAGGTCCATTACAACCAAAACTACACGAGCACATCACCACCTCCAGCTGATCAGACAGACGGCATGACGCAACTTGCTAAAACAGTTTTAAAAAAAAAAGAGAGAAAGCTATAAACGCAATTAATATGCAAAAAACGGTAAATAAATGTTATATATCAGGCATGCAGGCAAACACAATGTAAACTTCAAAAACTGGCGATTGAATCTCCGACTGGCAACGTGTTCAGATCCGCTTCACTGCATGACGGCACGGGGGCCGAGTCCAAAAGAAGCCAGGCTCAGACGTCACAGGGCGGAAAACACAACGAGAAGTTCGGCTTCTGAGGTGCGGCGTGTTATAGGGAGTGACACGTAATCCACTGGAGGGGTAGCTTCGTTTCTGATCAGGTTTGAGAACGAGAAGGAAAAATGTCTCCCGGAAATGAGCGTTATCTTTTTTTTCCTTTAACGATTTAAAATCATCCACACAGTAACGAAAGCCTGGGGGCCGAGGGCTACTGGACCATCTGATGGACTAATAAAGAACTGAATATAGCCTTTTACTATTTGGATAATTAAAAAAAAAACTAAGGGCTGCCTTCCTTAATGAACAAAAGGTGAAGCTGAGATGGGAAAAAATGTGTCAGAAACATTGAAAAACACAGAGTCTGTGACCACAGCCGCCGCTGGGCGGAAAGACAAGGCACAAACTTGGGAATAAAATAAAAAAATATGTAAATGTTCATGTGTGGGCCTGCGATGGACTGGCAGACCGTCCAGGGTGACCCCGCCTCTCGGCCGTTGACCACCGGGATAGGCTCCAGTTCCCCCCTCGACCCCATCAGGGAATAAGCGGTTACGATAATGGATGGAAATGTTTAAACATTTTTAAAAAGTTCTTCCTGATTTGTCTGAGTAATGTAATGTTTTTGTGCAAAGCTGCTTGATATTAGATGGGTTTTCATGGTGTAGAAAGTGACAAAAGCTGGATAGTGAAGCCTTTAACTGTGTAGTTTGGGCTGCTCGGAGTGGCTGTGAGGTCCTACAGAGCAGAAACCACAGACACACACTCTGTGCTTTTTGAAGTCTGTAAGAGGAACCATAGGATGTCAGCAGATTAGACTGAGGATCTGTGTTTAAATTCACTATGAAAAAAGACCAGAGTAGGCAAAAAATGAAAGAAAAGCATCATTTCAGTATCAGTGTCTTTCTTTCCATCAAAGTCTGAACACCTCAGCACAGGTGTCTGATTTTCCTCTTTAAGTAAAAACAGCTAAAGCGAAGCGACCATCAGCTGTAGACTGGTTGAATTTACTTTTTTATGTTAATGACAGTTTTATAAAATAAAAAAAAGGATGGCTCCAGATAAAAAAGGAACTTTTAAGGCTAAAAGCTGAAAGAGCGGGATCTGAGTTAGTTTATTCTGATTACAGAAAAAGAAAAAAGTCTTGACACACAGGTGGTCATATGGTTTTCCTATGATTGTTGGTCATTACTTCTGCTGACCAAAGCTGCCTCAATATTGCTTTGTTTATTTTTTGCCAGGTAATAGAAATCTTTTTCAGCGCATCAATCAACGTTTAACGTGTTTATACAAGATGGATTATGTCATGAAAGAATGGTGCGGATCATAAAATAAAGTTATTGTATTAAATGGAAATTCAATATCCGAACAAATCTTTGTTCACATATTCTCTGAGCCTCTAAAACTCTTCTTATTTTTTTGTTGTTCTTGTTGGACTCACTATAATTACAGATAACTTCAACAACTCAGTTATTTAACTTTAGTCTTTGGAAAGCTGGCTTTTAAGAATAGCCTTCTCACCAATTTAAAATACATGGGGATATGTGACATTTTTAAAATCATAATCAAAATGAAAAATAACTGAACAAAACAGGTGGTGGGGAAACCACAAGTTATCATTTAACTGATTAAAACTGGAAGAAGAAGAAACAACTAACTTTGCTGATAAACTCACTGGCAGCTAAAACTATGTCTGCATGTTGCCTGAAATCAGCGTTTTAAAATAAAAAACAACGACATGTTAGTTTGGTATCAAATACCTCAAATACCTCCCTCTTCCAAGAAGAGAAGCGCAGTGCACAAAACACAATCTGGGACGTCAAAGAATATGATTCTATCATAAGTGATGATGCCCTTGCTTGCAAATAATTAGTGCGAATCTAAAAGAAGAGAAAAAAAAACATTATCCAAGGATGTGAAACTGTGATTGGACCCCACCAGTAAAACATGAGAGGTTTCCCCTCAGTCAGCGTAGTGCATGATAGACTCAACGTAATTCCCAGGGAAGAGGCCGGTGGTGGCGTTCATCACTCCCTCGAACCATCCGTCCTCGTTCTTCTTGATGACATAAATGATTGCTCCTTCCTGAAACGACAGCTCGTCCTCTTTGTCTGCACTGTAGTCATAGATGGCCACCACTAGAAGGTGACAAACACACAGGAAATAAGTTGTAAATACATGAACACAAATATGAGCATTTATACATTCCAGACTCCTGATCACTCAGGCGCACCTTTCTCCATGTAGGTTCTGGGAGCCCATGGCGGGTCTTCTTCAGCATACGGATCGCTGTACTCCACCACGGCAGAGTCTTCTTCCCCGTGTCCGTCCTCCAATGGCTGTGGGGAGGTCGAAGCCTCCGCAGGCCCTGATTGGCTCTCTGTGGACGGGTGAGGTGGATGGGGGCTGTCTGAAACTGGAGATGGACAGATTTTATAAACAGGATGGAGCCAGAGGTAAAAACGCCAACATTTTCAATGTCCAATGGTCAAAGAAAAAAAAATGGGAAAAAAAATCTCAAAAGCTCAGTTGTACTTACTGGACTCCTGAACCCGAGCGACAAATCCCATTAGAGGAAGCTGAGGGGTGAACTGGAGGAAGGAAGGGGGTGGAGGGGAGGCTACAAAAGAGAAGAAGAGAGCTGGAGTCATCTGTCTGCCCTGATGAGAGGCAGCCTGCTGCAGGTCCATGGTGCGTCGCAGGGCATACCCGGGCTCTGGTTGTAGTGGGGGCCACCGTTAACATGGTTCTGTGATACAATGGGCTGACCGGTCACAGAGGGGGGGCGGCGGTATGGAAGTGACCCCCCAACCTGCGGGGCCTGTTGTCGAGGCTGAGGCCGGTTCATGCTGTAGAACTGAGGGACGATGGGGCCTGACGGAGCAGAAAAAGTACGATTATAAACCATTTTAAATCATTTTGGGCTGAAAAAATTTCACAAATAGAAAAAACGCCTAGCAACCATTTTATTTCTGAATTAATTCTATTTTCTGAACTTAAAGCTTGGGTGACATAACATTTAATATTTCTAAACAGGTAAACGTTCATAGATCAAACTGGCTTTATAGACCAATCAATAACAAATCCGATTTTATTTATATATTGGAATGATTTTGTTTAACTAGCTTTGGTTTAGAGCTAGTTGTATCAAAACTGTGTGAAGAGTTTGACTATTAGAGGACAGCCTTTTTCTTATTTAACTTTTAGCAAAAAGCCAATAAGGATGTTTCCCAAAAAGATGATCCCTTCCTTACAGTTTGGTCAAAGTAAGAACATGAGACATGGTCTTAAATTTGCTTATGTCAGAATCTAGATCTTCTTGTTCAATCTTTATTTTCTTTAGAAAAAGAGAGAAGAGGGAAAGAGACTTAGAAGCGAAGCAAAAGAGCAGGTTTTAGGGAGGTTGGTGTGAGAGGGGTGTTGTCAGAGAGACTCACCTTCAGCAGGTGATGAGGAAGAGGAGAGTGGAGGAGGAGGGGCGGGAGGAGGGATAGAAGACGGCTCGACCTCGGGTGTGTCAGGGTTAGGGTTAGAAGGAGAGGAGGTGCTGGTGTTTGGTGCGTTCGATTGTGCTGAATCAGCGCAGTGTGAAGGTGAGTTTGGCGGCAGAGGCGCATTAGGTTGGGTTAAGGTTGTGGTGGATGAGGAGGAGGAGAAGGACGAAGGAGTTGGGGAAGGAGAAGGGGAGGAATTAGGTGCGGTGGAGGAAGAACTAGCTGGTCCAGCAGTCGGGGAGACTTCAGGAAAGAGGAGGGAAGTATAGAGGAGGTTGAGAGCGATAAAGAAAAACCCTACAGGGCCATTTCAACATCCAAACCAAACAATTACCTTCAGGTTCATTTGAAAATGAGCATCTACTTATAATATTTTGACATTTTTAGCTCATAAAATAGACAAGAAAAGAGGAAATTATGAGAAGAGAAATAAAAGAAAGAAGCCCATTTCCGTTTCTCCTGACAACAACCATCAGGAAGCACCGTCCCATCATCCCAGGACAACCAGAGGTGCGGTGAGCCGGAGACGTGCAGGGCTTACCTGGAAAGGTGGAGGGTGGGGAGGGCGTCGGCACGGCGATGGGAACGCCCACACTGCCGCTGCCGCTGTTCTCTCTGCTGCTGCTCCGGCTGCTGCTGCTGGGGTGGCTGCCTCCACTGCTACCACTACACACACACACACACACACACACACACACAGCTGGACAATCAATGACCTGGACAGGAGTGTGTGATAAAAACATCACGGATTTATAGTTATGTAGTAATAAAAAAATAGCCTTCCTTGTGCAACAGAAAAAACTGAGCCAGGTCACTGGCTTTGGTATTTTTTCTTTTAGTCAGTGTGGAGTAAGTCTGGTATTGGGCCCACAATTTAGATAACTTCTTCTTCTTAACATAAGAAGAACAAGCCAAGCATTTCATTATGTGTGATTACTTAAAATCTTAAAATCCATTACTGACTGCAAACACCAGTGGGCTGTTGTAAACCCGTCATTTTGAGTGGACCACGACCCCAAACATTGACCACACCATCTGAAAAGAATCGGCCATAAATTCTCCAACATCTACTGTGCACAAACAGTGAGACTCCACTTTTAAGTGGAATAAAAGACCTCTCGTCTCTAACACACATCTCCATGCATAAATTATGGCTTTTTAAATGAAGGGGAACATTACCACAGAAAGAGCCTACAGGCTATTTTTAGGCCCGTATATTTACGTGTGAAAGCATGTCAGGAGGATGTCCTGCAAGCAGACGTTGGCTTATCTGACCTGCAACATTAACTTACCCCCTGCCCAAAGTTATTTGTGGCTTTATTAATAAACAGCCAGAGGAAGCTTAATTTGGAACAGCCAAAAACTGGGAACAATATTTTTAAAGAAACTGAGGAGAGACATTATTAGACTCTCCAGCCTCACAGTGAACTGGCTTCATTTTTAAACACAAAAAACACTCCGCTTCTCTGATGGGAGCACTGTTGTCTTCTATCTTCATCTACCCTCAGTTGTGCCTTATTGTGGGAAACTTGGAAAAAAGTCCTGATGCACTTATAAACAATCCAATCATTTTACTAACAGACTGATTTAACCTTAAATTGTTAGTTTCAGTTAGAATTGGGAAACGGGAAACACCCACAACTCATGTAACATTTGTTTGAATATGCATGTGTATTTAATTGTTATTCTCCTAAAAAAAAAGGCAAAGCTTGAACATCGAACAAAAGCTTCTTTTTTTCTAAAGGCATGTCAGGAAATAAACAGAGATATTAAAAGCAAGGCAGGACAGAAAAGAATGGAGAATAAGGACAGAGTTCAAACAGAGAGAAAATCAGGAGCCTGTAGAGAAACAGCAGAGTAAAAGACAACAGTGAGTCTGACTCATGCCAGCCAACAAGCAATGGAGAAAATATGCAACCTGATGGGTCAAAATAATCTGATCATGTTCACTGAATAATGCAGCCTGGGATCAAATAATGTTGAAAAGCAATGGTAGTGCAACAGAGGTTCAAATCCATCTGAATGCCATTTTTATTTCATTAGACTTTAAACTCAGCTTCTGCTTCTCAAATTAATTTCAAACTGGTTAAATGTCAATTTCTTCAAAGGTTCGCTTTAAACATGTTATGTCAGCAGTTTAGCCTTTAACACAGTAGCAAAACAACTGTGGCAGCATGTCTAAATTTGATAAAATCAAGAAAATTCATAAACTTAACAAGATTATAACTATGAATATGATAATTAAGAACTGATTACAAGTTTAAAAAATATCATACTATTAGAAATTCTATAAATATTTTAAAAGCCAGTTAAAAAATAATATAGCTCTTTTTTTAAATGGGGAAAAAATTGTATAAACATATCAAGAGATGTTTGATTTGGGATAATAAACCTATCTTAGCTTACTCTAAAACAACATTAAATGCTTTTCAGATCAAGTAGAAGTTTAATGGACTGCTTGACAGAAGCACAGAGGACAGTAGCAGAGCTGGAAGAAGCCAAGACAAGTTAAATAATTAAGTCACAAGAAAAGCAATAAATGAGCAAAGATTCTGGGAAAGTAACACCAAAATAATGTAGAATAATCTAAAGACAGCAGCATGAAAGCTCAACATATCAGCTAGAAAAAGGGAACAAATAGCCGATCTAGCTCAGTCTAAAGGTACAGATCTATTTCCTGGCACCAGTAATACTCACTATTTTTACAGTTTTCATGGAAAAACTTCTCTTTCCAACTTAATTTTCTTTGGCTCATTTGCTGCCATGTGCAAAAATAAACGAGCCTCAGGGCAACCCAGAATATTTGCTCATGTTCAGAGAAACAACTAATTGTTAGATCAACTGGAAATGGAGGAGCTGAGACATGAATTTGGATTTGCTGATAAAAACATAAAAAGGATGCATTTTGGGTGAGTCAGCCAAGCAGAAATCAAAATGTTATATTCAACACATTCAGTCAGTCTGTGATGGGATTCAGATACTTCCCTGCCCTCAAAAGAGAAAAACAGCAAAAATCTAGACATGTGGATGTGCTGAACATTAAACATTTTGAGAGTGAAGGAAATTCAAGGCATGTCAGCTGGTTGAGAGCAGAGAGAGGAGCTCTGAGATCTTTTTCGGGCGGCCATGTTTACACGACGACCCCGCTACCTGTACGTTCGGGGGCGATGGTTGAGGGTGGCTGTGCGCACAGGACTTGGAAGCTGTCCAGAGGCCATGTTATTTCTGGTTGGGCTGGAAACATAGTCATTGGGCACCACTGGGGGGCGCACTGGCTCCAGAGTCCTGTAGGGGGAGTTCTTCCTGTGTATGTAAGAGGTAAGGGTGAGGACAGGGTCAGCAGGTCTGGTGACCTGTCTGCACTTGTGAACACGAGGCAAAACCTGTCAACATCTTTTGCAGAAAGAAAGGAAAATAATAGATCAATAAATTGTCATTTTCCGTCAATGTTCAACTGTAAATATTCCACTTCTCCTCTGAAGTGTATCTGCAGCCCCTTTAATATTATCACTATATTTAGCCATCCCATTGGAAAGATAAACACTTAAATAACCATGAAGAGCCAGAGGAATAGGCAAAATGTCATATAAAAGTGTTCTGGAGTCAGCCATAACCTGTCAAATGAAGGAAAAGGTCACAGAAAAGGGACCAGTGAACTAACAGAATGTTTGACAAAGGATGATACATTGATTGTATGCTGTGAAGAGCCCAACAGCATGAACTCTGTTGTATTACTAGTAGTAAATAAATCAAGTGTAACCAGCAATAGACATGGGCACAAATAAACCATCATGGCTTCTGTGTACTTCCACATTTTGAATTAAAAATAGGCCGACTTCTGCTGCGGAAGAAATGGATAAATATGTGAAGGCCATGTTTAAAGGTCAGGAGATATTTTAAGAGATTTACCACTCATCCCCGCATCATACCAGCGGGAGGAATAAATGCGATAAAGAGAAATCAGACTGAAGTGAAGAGTCAAAGTGGTATTTATGCGGAAAATGTTCGCTTGAAAAGAACACATAAAAATGTCAATTAGTGAAGCATAAATACACTCATACAAACATTACAATTACAGAACAACTGTCTGGATTAAAGTAAATATTTGAACAGCAGCCTTTTCAAATGACATGACTAGAGGAGAGCAGAGCTGCACCCTTAAATTCAAAGCTGTGTATTTGTTTTTACCAGATTGTAGAAAAAGAAAAACAACCACCCAGGATTTCCAAAACCACACGTGTAGATGAAATATGACCATTCTCTGGCGGATCGTGACGCTTGAATTTCTGTTAGCTGCTTTTGCTAGATTCCTGTGTTTATTATCAGTCCTGTAATTTGTAAAAAAGTATAAAAATAACAAAGTGTCATGCGAGTGTTGCTTAGACAGGAAGAACAGATAGGGTGTGAAACCGTTTGTGCATGTTGGACTGAGCTGTCGCTGATGTGTGTAATGAGTGTGTGTTCTGTCAGAGGGCCTGTTGTTTGCAAAGCAGTGCCAAGTCACTGCTGTGTATTTGTCTCTTGTCTCTCCGTGAATGTGTGTGTGTGTTTGTGAGTTTTTGTGTGTTTGTGTGTGAAGACAGGCACACTTGGCTTGTTGACCACAGCTTAGTTCCAACCAACTGCTAAGCTGCTTCTGTTCCTTCTTTCCGAGTAACGCACACACTTTGACTTGAATATCCACGTTTCTTTATGGCCATTTGCTTAAAAAAAAACGTCATAACCATCTATGATCAGAGAACCATTATGTATTTCAAAATGAGCTTTGACCAGCGTAAACCAGCCTTTTACAAAGATTATCGTGTGGTGGGTTAGGAGCCATCCTGTTGTCGCTCCAGTTATTGTTTACAGCCCTTTCAGCATGAAAAGGATCCTCCCACGCTGTTAATTCAGGGTACAACAGCCGGTTGATCAGCAGGTTACAGGAACACTGACATAGCCAGTGAAAGGGACACATGATCCTCAGCCAGAAAACCTGGCCTCCCGTGTGCAGGCATACAGTGAAAGTGAGGCCATGTCTTCAGTCCTGTGCTCTGACATCAACGTTTTTAACACAACTAACAAAAAATGCATACACAATCAGACAGAAATCACTCATATCAATGTGTTAAATAGGAAAATACAATCAGCTGCTGGTTAGTTACACATATAGACTAAAACTGCTGACTCTGGTTTGTCTACCTCTTAAACAGAGGAGCTGAAGGAGAGGCAGAGTGTGCCATGAAACCAACAAGTACATGTTGGTAAACCAGAAACTGGATCTGGTTTGAGCTGTGTGCAAACAAAAATGGGAGGATCTGCAACAATTTTAATTAAAATTGGAACCTATGAGTCACTGCAATGCAAAAAATAAGTGTGGAGCCATATTTCTCGAGTTGCTGTCTATGATGCCTCTGCGAATAATCTCTTATATAACCATAAAGCCATCAGAAAAAAAAGAATATCCTCATATTTGTGACCCATGCTTTTAAGTAAACAAAATCCAGCAGACTTTACATACATCTGTGTATGGACTACATACAGGTGTTTTGGGAAGCTAATTCGTTTAACCCTTAAAAGGACAGTGTTATTCACAGTGCACAGGCTTGCTAGGCTAAAGTTTTAGACTGCAGAAAATTAATAGATTTCACCCTTCAGGTGGAGTGTCCCATTTTAATCTGTGCTGGCCCAAAATATCCAACTTCAGCCTGGCACAACGGCAACAGCAATCTCCCTCTCTGTAACTCTGTGTTGTGCTTTCCAAGAATTACTTTGGATTTCAACCACCTGGTTCCAGTGCCAGAGAGAGTTAAGAAGAAAATGAAAAATCAGGAGGTCGGTAGTCCGAGGTTTAAGGGACAAAGAGGTAAAGATGAATACATGAAAAGTGACTCAGTCAAAGAGAGAAAGAACAAATTAAGAAAAGAAAGTAAGAGACATTAGAAAAGAGTGATGATATAAAGAAAGAAGGAAGCAGAGAAACAGCTGTGTGACCTAGATGCTAGAGGGGCGAGAACACAACAAGCTTTCACAATGAGTGACGTTATTCCTCAGAGCACAGCGTTTCAGAGTGTGTGTGTGTGAGAGAGAGAGGGAGAGAGAGAGAGATTCCCTTCTACTGGATCAAGTGCAGACTAAGCTCGCTGCAGGATACCCTGTCCTTCCATGAGAGACAAACCCTCAGAATCTGTAACAATTTCACACATCACTTATTTCAAAGAGCAAGATGTGAATTTATGAGGCAGATCTTCCATATGTTAATAATACTGTACTTCTCATAACACTCGAGTGGCCGAATATTACTTTTATTCGGGCCTATACAGTACAGTGAGCAATGATAATTACAAAGAGAATAAGCAGACAAGCATAACAGACATGGAATTAAGGTAAATCCCAGACAAAGAGATCCAGTAAGGGTACGAGGGCGTGTGTGTTGGGAACATACCCGAAGATCCCCTTGCCTGCCCTTGGTGGACTGGGCGGTTTCTGGGTCGGAGGATTTGACCGGGACAAACCCCCTCCAAGTTTCATGTTCTGCTGGCCATTCACCTGTGGAAATAAATACATTGTTAGAGCGTAATTCTTGATCTGGCTCTCTGACAAAACCCAAGACAGCTTTTAACGTGATTCTACACTGATGAGACATTATGCTAACCCAGGCCTGATATGCTGCCGGTCCTTTTTGTTGCACTAATCAGGTTCTAATTTACAGAAACCTTGACAAATAGAGACAGGGCTCCGTCAAGGCAGCCGGCCCTTAACTCTGTGAGTGGGGTCGTCTCTTCTCGTCTCACCAGGCACGTAAGACACGCTGGGAACAGGGTGACCTTACTATTTTAGATATGCTTGGACCCAGTCTTTCGGCAATTTAGATTGTGACCTTTAAGTCACAAGTCGACATATTTGTCCGCTTCTTTTTCATCCAGCACAGACCAGAAAACAGACACGCAGTGTGGCTGCAAGAGAAATCAATGTTATGCTTTATATCTGTGAGTCCAGTAGGAAGATGGACCTTTTTAAAACCATCCATCCATCCATCCATTATCGTTACCGCTTATTCCCTAATGGGGCCGTGGGGGCAACTGGAGCCTATCCCAGTGGTCAATGGGAGAGAGGCAGAGCACACCCTGGCCACCAGGCCATCGCAGGGCTTTCTTTAAAACCATCTCTGTATTTTTATTTAGTTTGGAGATGCTTGGAGCATGTATTTAGTTCAGTAATTGTATTAAAATACGTTCAACTATGTACTCAATACTGTGCATCCGACCCCTCAAAAAACAAGGTTTCACATATTGAATAATTTAAATTCACACAAATTAACACAGTAACCACTTATTTGATCTATCTAAGGGAGGTTATTGAGCATTTAAAATCCTTCAAAATATTATCCATGAAGAAAACCCTGCTTTGGAACTAAATCAGCTCAAACTGCAGTGACCTAAAACGTTCAACTATGTACTCAATACTGTGAACATTTCTGAGGTTCGACCAGATGGACGGCAGCAACACGTGGGGTCTGAAACATGCCTTTAAAGGACTGAGGTCAGCGTGATAGCAGCACCGTCCAATCATTACAGAGAGCAACCGCAAAGATGCTGAACTGTTGTTAGATACACCAAAAGCATTTTTCTAGCATTGTGAGTGGATGTGCTGTGCGCCCTTACCTTAAACCTCATCAACCACTTAAGACACCAAAGACGGCAGATGAAACAGGAGAGAGAAGAAATGAGAGAAAATTTTGTCTAATGGTCAGTGACAGTGTAACAACATCATGCAAACATTACATGTCATCAGAAACACAGGACTAAAACTACAGTTAAGAAGGGATTAATGTGCAGGCTGGGTCATAAAGACAGAACAAGAGAGATGCTCAAGGATAGCGATGTAGTAAAAGGTAAGACATCCACATCCAGAAACGTAAAAGCACAATATTAGATAACTATTGCAAATAGATACTTAATATATTTAGTGACAGAGTAAAGAACACTCAGTTATGCACACAAACATGGGGTCATTCCAATTATGCAAAACAGGATTGATTACTTTAGGTTCAAAGACACGACTATTCTGCATCTCTACTTTTCAAATTTACAGTCCACAGATTAAGATTAAACTGTTGCTGATGGAGCCTGTAACAGCTAGATTCTTGTGTTATCCAGCCCCACAATCCACAGGGCTCTTCTGGCTATTTCTGGCCTAATTATCTAAGAAAATGATCAGTGCTTAATCACCAGGAACAGGATTGTTCCAATTTCTCGGCCTCATCATTAGGTTACTGCATATCGAATAGTTATGCTCTAAGTGTTCTAAGTGAGTTCATTTCCATTTAAATCGTTATATTTTTTCGTTTAAAAAAGCTAATATTATTAAATCTTCAGTTGCTTTGATTACTGCTAGTCATCAGCAGCTTTCTGAGTTCATTCACCTACCTTGACCCCATGCCCAGTATCGTCCAGCACACTGTAGTCAATAGGCTTCCTAATGTAGCGCACTGGCCTCTCTGGATTGGCCGGGGCAACAATTTTATGGGAGCGAGTTGTGTTCTTGTTGGTGGTCAGGATGCCGATCTCTCGCCTCGCCACCTTCTCTTTGTGAATGTCGACGGTCTGAAATGCAAAAAGGGAAAAAAGAGTGGTGATGACTAATTGATGACCTCTGCTTCATTTCTCTGCCCTTTTATGTAATTTGTTAACCTTCCGCAGGAAAATCAGCAATCTAACCATCACAGAAATGGGGATTATAGACTACCTCTCAATATTGTCATATCTCCATACAAAATAACTCAATAACGTATGAGAGAAAGATTAGAATCACATAATATACTCTTAGATTACAATGCAATTCATCAAGACTACATTCACAGTAGCGTTAAACCTGTGTCTGCATATGCCACATCTGTGCAGCCTTGTTTTATATATTTTATATATAAGTCGATCATTGGGCACGCAATGGTTTTGATCTGAAAATACAGTAAGATAAAAAATCATTTCAATTCATGGCACTGCTGCTGAGGTTTTTTTAAAATATTATATGTTGCAGCAGTTAGTCTCAGATCCTCTGTTGAGCCATCTGTGTCAGCATTTCACTTCGACAGTTCTGTCTCACAGACAATCAGTTTTGAGTGAGCTACCATGCTGACACCATTACTCCGCTCCCTGATCGTCACTTGGTTGATGCTCGGATCCATTTATCACGTTGTTAACGAGAGTCAGTGGTAGCTTTCGTCTGTGTGTGATGACTTCGACCATATTTTCACACCAGCAGTACAAATCTCAGAGAATTCAGTGCGACAAACAAATTCACACTTTCCTGTGTTTTCACACTTGATATTGCAGAGACGTTTTAAAAATGGGTGACAAACTGTTCTTGAAGCACCGAGTTGGGAGAGCTTTGTCGCATGTTCAGTGATATATTTCACTGTGTCTGCAATATTAATAATATATTAGTAATAACCATTGTTTATTGGACATCTAAAGCCTTTTATCCAGATTGCAACTGGCCTTCATCAAATTGGTAATCAAGACTTATATAATGAGATTTTTAAATCACAACTAATGATATCATAACATATCTATATAGATATATGATCAAATACATCATAACATATCACAACAGCTAGTGTTCAGTACATAATTTAAAAGCTGGCGAAGCTCCTACTTTAATGTACAGATGGCTGTTGTCATTGAGAGTGGTGGCTGTAAATAAGGCCCCAGATGCTGTCAGAAAATACCCTTTTGAGCCACTATATACTCTGACTTGAGGATCAACGCACCTCACTCATAATTCATTCTCTACTGGGTGCTGGTGGTCTGATCCCTGGCTCCAGCACCAAACCACAGGGCTTAAGGGATGTGCCGTAATGTCCTGGTGCCAGACGCACCTGTGCAGAGTCCTTGCTTTAGAGGACCGGAGACGTTTGGGTGTGGTCTCAGCGAGAAACAACATATTAGGCAGGTGGCTTATGAGGGAATTGCTATTTGGCAGGGGGGAAAAAAACATGAAGTTTTCACTGCTTTTAGTAAGTCTCTGCAACAGCAGGGTCAGACAGAGGCTGATTTGTCCTACTTAGAACAACGGTGCTAGTTTGCAGTGGATAACATTTGGTGAATATACATGTCAACACACGTAGTTTATCGTGTCAGCTGCCAGGATATGACACAGAAAGGAGCTGCCTTATTCAGTGGATAATGTTAAATCATTAAAGGCTCAATCCTGTCGTAGACAGCAGATGATTGACTTGGGATTTTTTCTCCCCCCAAAGACAGAGCATCTGGTCTAAGCCTTGAGCGTGTTTGGGTATTTTGGATTCATGTTACACGAATGCCCTTTTAGTTGATTACTGCAGCATGAAATGTAAAATGCATTATATAAGATCATCTCAGTGTTGCTCCTTGTGTGAGGAAGCCTCGCTGCACGGAGCCTTCGCCTACATAACAGATGTGACTGTCTCACTGAACACAAAGCGGTAATTATGACGTTCAACCTCAGCCTGGGCTAACACAACACGGAGAGAAGCATCTCATTATTTCTGTATGCAGAGTATTCTGATTATACTGATTATTCAGTGGTCTGAGGAAGAGAATGGACCCTCTGTACTTCTGGAGAAAGACTTTAGTCCTATAAGTCCCATATGATTGGACTGTTGGAGATTTCAGTCTGGAGTGAATTAACATTTCTGTTTCAACAGAAGCATTTCCTCAGCGCTCAGGGACGTGTCAGTATCCTCCAGGTTTGCCTAGAAATATGAATAAGCGCAACAGAGCTGCAGCGTGAGGTGTGTAGGTGTAGAGCGTGGGTCTGGATCACCTGCAATGCTTCACACTATTAAGACTGATGGATGCAATCGCACTTAGATTTGTTTGACTGGATGTAGAACACCATAAATAAGGTTTCACTGCAGGATGCCAGTGAATGTCAGAATTTTGTCATTTAATATTATCACAAACATACTAAAACTAAAGCCATATACAACAGTGGGTAAAAACATACTTTTAAAAGCTCATACGGCTGATTATGTAATAGCCAAACAGTTAAATAATGCAATGCAAGTCATTAAAATAACCTCAGTTAATTATTTCAGAGACCTTTCACATCGAACACAATTTCCATTTATTTTCTCATAATGCAATTATGTAAAATACTGATTCTTTTAAAAGGACCAAACATGTTCCCATCCTATCTTTTAACAGAATATTGAAAACAAACCCCATGTCCACAGAGCTAATGTGTGAACAGAAAGACATGTTTCAGCACTTTAACCACTTTGTGGTGAGAATTTACCACTTTATTACACCACGTTTTTTTTCCCTAAAGGTTCTAAAATAAACTCGGGGCTGTTGCACTTTGCTTTAAGACATTGGCTAACATAAATGAGCATGCATGCATACACGATTATATATTGTGTGCCTTCACCCATGAGTCCTCTTACTATGTATTAAAGGACCATGTACGATTTCATTCACCATGAAAACACTGTCCACATTTTCTTTACACATTACAGATTAAAACATTTTTTTTGTCATTGTCATCCATATTTTTGAATATCGGCAACGTTACCACCAAAATGTGAAAGTATTATGAATGAAGGAACACAGTTCTTTAGGTTAGTGTTTAGTCTTGGGAGTGTTCTCAGCTGGTAAATCGTTTCAAACCGAGTGGGGACAAAGTTCTCCACACCTGTGAAATGTGGTTGACGGAGCTCTCCATCCGACGCAGCTGCGAGGCCTGAATGTCCAGCATCTGCAGCACATTGTTGGCCAGCGTGTTGATGAGGTAGGCCACGCTTGCCAGGGACTGGGTGGTGTAGCTCTTCGTCTCCTCAAGCGCTCGCTGCTTGTCTGCGGACTGCAGGGGCGAAAGGAGACAGATTTAGGACAGGAGTAGCATAAGGCCAGACTTTCATTTGTAAACATCATGGGGGGGAAAAAAGCAGAAGTTTGCAGGGAAGAAACATCAAACAGCAAAGGGAAAAAATGGTGTGAAAGATGTCCTCCAGGCTTTGTTTCATTTTTGTGGCTGCCCTTTCGCCCATGACATCAACCCACAGCCAATCCAGTTGAATTTTTCTTGAAGGTGGAAAGCTTGTTCCCTTTGGTGACATGTTCCCTTAAAACTGTTGCAGCGTTTGCTGATCGTGCATGAATTGATTACTGTATCCTTTAGCTCCAAGTCAATGCTTTTTGACCAATTTGGGATGCTTCCTTTCAGCCATGCTATTTTGAGAGCTTGTTACTTTGGGTTTAAACTGGCAGACATTTTTAAACGGCTGATCCACCGGATCATTTAAAGTCAATTAGATGATTGCAAAAACTATTGACATGGCAATAGTTCAAGTTTAATATCTTAATGAGGAGCTATGGATAAAAACAATATATAAAAAGAGATGCTCATGTGAGCTTCACATAAAGAAGAGCAGACACGCCATGATTTGTGCTTAACAAAAAACAGACAGACTGCGTGTGTTTAGGTGAATGTGTGTCAGTGAGAACAGATTTAGCTTTTAAAATTTGGGTTAGGAGATTTGTGAAAAAGTTCCATTAAGGAAAAACCTTTAGAGGAATAATTGAGGGCACAATCTGAAATCAGATTAGGACTATGGTCGGACATTCCGCATGATAAATGTTGAGGTAAGGGTCTGTTAGGGGTTGCTTTCCTCCAAATATAGTCCTCACAACGATGGAAAGACCAGCACTGGGGTGTGTTTGGTGAAGCACAATGTAGGTCAATGCAAACTCATTCATGCCTGAGGTTGACAAGAAACACACTGACACCCAAATGTGTGTGTGTGTGTCATTCTTTCTCAAACACACACACGTGAAAAATATTACAACAGACAACATTAGCATGTACAGAATTTGTGTCATAGATTCAGATGACCCAGAGCCCTACATTCATAGTCGAAACTCAAATTTATTGAATTACATAATGGCTAAAGTAAAGCTTGACTTCTGATTGGCTTGAAATAGAGGAGGCAGCCAGAAGACAGACCTGAGGACACAGTCATACACTGGCACTTCAAATATAATGCTTTGCTGTGGCTAAAATTATTCTCCTACCATTGGTTTAACGGAAAAATAAAGCCATTGGTGCTTAAAGAAAGCTACAATTTTGACGCATTTTGTGTTTTCAAATCTATGATCAACCATGCCATTTGTCAGTCGCTGACTCTGCTCAGATTAGTAAAGCTATCGGAGTCGTTCCCAGAGTCAAGAAAACAAGAACATAAAAGTGTTGTTGATAAGTACATGTATAAGAGCAATGCGCGTTTGGTTCTCTACAATTATCATCTGACAACTCAAACCCCTGTTAAGAATAGCCTGAAAGCATTTGGAAACACAATGGTCTGGGGGTAGAATTGCTCAGCATGCCATTTACAGGTTTTTTTAAAAATGCTATGAAGGTTAAAAACTAGATTTTTCATTAAATAAAATGTCTTTTGTTAGAAAACATCAAAAGACGAAGAGATATGTGTATAAGAAGAAAGAGGACCAATGTGTGTGCTCTTAACATATTCAACTGTTCTTCCCAGGTGTCAATCCTTGGTCTCTCAAGTATTAATTTCTGACTTCTCTAAGTTATGACCCACTGTTGAGCAGTTTTGTTGAGCCTCAGTGGGAGAGAGGACCAGATCGGTCGAGTTACTTTGTAGAGAAAACAAGTAAAAAAGAACCAGACTCTGTATGCATTCGTGGCTGCAGACGTTGTGGGTTTTGCCTGTTATAGTAATGCTTCACATGTTAATTTAATAGCCATCTATCCGACTGGGAAGTGTGTGCAGTACACTTTTATTTCTGCTCAATTGTCAGACTTTGTCAATTCTTGGGGGGGCTACGAATTAATAGACCAACTGTTTCATTCACAGGCCACAGATGTTTGTCTACAGCGGAAGAATTAATATTTGGTTTGGACAGAAGGGCTCCGTGTTCATCAGGAGATGCATGAATTAAAAAAAGAAGAGAAATGTAGCCGAAAATCCCACAAAGAATCCCATTATTGCAGGTCCTTAAAAACTGCTATACGCTGAATCTTTGGACAAGCGTGTAATGTCTTTACATACTCAATCATCCATTAAAACAACCATCAAATCAGAATTATTCACCTTCACACTACAGTTCTGTGCACAGACAGTAAAAGCTATTCCTATCAACACTTTGCCTGCAAGGCGGAAGGAGCTTCTTCAAAAACAGCCACTCCACCGCGTCACTCTTAATAGCCAAACAATGAAGAGCTGATTGAAGGGGCCGTGCTAAACCATTGTCTGGTCTGATTTCCGGATTTTGTTAATCAGTTTGAGACCCTGCTGAAGACCTCGTACTCAAAATGTGCTTACTTCCCAGTCTCCTTTCTATTAGTAACAACTGCTTGATCCCTTTTCTATCTTACTTCCCAATATCCACTCTTATCATTCTCTACGCCTTCCTCCATCTTTAGTTTTCCATCTTTTTTAACTCCTCCCTTGTTTTATTACATCTTTCCCATCAGCCCTCTTATGTACTGTTAACATTGACCTAGTTGGAGGGCTGCCGTCTTTGGCCTAAGGCGAGGGCAGAGCAACTCACACTCTCTCTCTCACACACACACATATACACACACACACAGATGCTGCTAATGTTTTTTTTCTATTTCTACTAAGTTCACATACATGAATCATATCAGATTTATATGGAATCATGTGCACGCTCCGATTCCTCTGACCTGTTTTTTTTTTAATGAAGACAGACCCTACTAGTCTCATTCCTGCTGTCCAGTTTTATGGATTTACCAGTGATACAAACAAAAAAGGCCTCTGAACACCCAAAAATAAGTGTTTTGGGTATAATCAAACTGAGGGAGCGTACTGACATACTAAACCTAATCTGCACTAGGACAATGGGATGAAAATGACCCCAGTTGGTCAAATTCAACTCTAAGAAAAAAGAAACCCTGCTCTGTTCATGAAACAGTCGCAGCAAAGTGAAGTGTAGTGAACAAATACAAACATTTTTGAGCATGCGTTGTTCACAAGAATTTTTTAGAAAAGAATTAATCCACTGAACCAAAAATCGGTGGGCCTTTAGGAAAGCTGAAAAGATCAACAAGCGCCTGCAACCGAAGAATATCAAGTGTTGCTCTTGAGAAGTGAAGGCGGAGTAATTTCTCGCAGTGCAAAAAATGTCTGCTTTTAAAACGGCAGTAGTAAATTGTGTGCATCCTCTAGCTGGAGAATTCGGCCACAGAGCGACACGGCAGTGACTCAACAGTTAATTCAAACAAATGCAAATTAAACTGCTAAATTAAATAAGCTAAAACAAAAATTCTAAATGACTTGGATATCTAAATTTTACATCTTTTGATACAATTTGATGCAATTTTGATACACCCCTTTTTAACTCTGCAGATGAATCTGAAAACATGGAGGAAAAAAAATGGCAGAAATCCTTTAAAGATTTGATAGCTGTATCTCCACCATCGACAACACACACCAACTGAACATTATTTCAGAATCTGACATGATGATTTTAACAGCAAGAGCCTTGATCAAAGTAATACAAACAGATATGTTCACAAGAATTTGGTTTTTGGCGTTGACGGAGATGCAAATAGACCAGAAAGAGTATCAGACTTAGAATCCGAGAACTGAATCACTCATCTGTCTTGCATGTGTTTTATTCTCCTCTCAGAAATACAGCCACCAACAGCCAGCAGCCTCCCATTACCTTACAAGGAAATGTCCCTCTCTATTGTGTATAAGTGTGTTAGTCTAACATTAACACACCGCCAATGCACCGGAAACATCTGAGGCACTGCAGAATTGACAATATGTGAATTTATTTTGTGCCCAGATCGCATAAACATGCAGCAAATCTGAGGTCGTTTTTGCTGTGTGAAACTGTGGCGGTAATAAAATATTGATCTAATAATCACCACTGCTAAATTCTCTGTTCTGTACCTCTCTTGTTGACTGCACACACCTATGAAGATAAAACCACTCTTTATAGTTACTGTGTTTTTTCTTTCCTTTCTTATTAATTGTTTTATGAAATTATAAATGAAGAGAAGAATGGATGACTTTAACCCAATTAAACAATGACTTGTTGATCATCTTTACTGTACAAAAATCTGAATAGAGCGTTAAAAGAGCAGTGCATTGTGGGACTGTATGACAAGGAAGTCAGCTCTCTTTTGTTGTTTTTTGGTATGTTTTTAAAAAGATAAATGGTGAATGTTTTATATTCAAATGTATATATATATATGTACTGCTGGTCCAAACCACATGCCAAACCAAGAGGGCTCAGCCCATATTGCTGTATCCTTAGGCTCATCTAGCTCTGGTCAGGGAATCGGCTGAATAGCGACGGCAGCGCTGGCTAGACTTCTGCAAAGCCAGGTGGATGTGTGCGAGCGCACATGAACTGTTGGGAAGTGACAGCCCAAGTTCGCCTGAGTGTTCTGCCTCTGTAATTTCTCACAACATGCTGGCATGGAAGGCACATCAGCGGAGAGAGGGAGATGTGAGAGAGGCTTGTGCTCGTGTTGGACGCGCACTGAACAGATGTATTATACAACATGCTGACCAACAACCACAATGCAAAGCACTGCCACATCACTGCATGTTGCCTATATAAAGCCCCTTTTTCTGTTTTAGCTCCCTGACTTTTCGTTTCACACCAGACAGCATCATTTAAAACGGCCTTTTTAACATGATGTATCTCATTCAGAAAATATAAAAAACCATAAAATCTTTTCAGAATAAGAAATCACAAATGCATTATTTGGCATTTCTCCACAATAAAAGATGAATCATCCTCAATATAAGCGTTTTGAGACGTGCAAGACAATGTTTTATGATGATGTTTTAAGAGAAATGCTATGAATAATCATTTTTTTAGGGGAATAAGATATGTGACAAATAAACAGTGTTGAAGAAACTAATAAATAAATATAAGAATACCTCAATTAATGAGTCTAATTAAGATGCATGTGCAGAGATCCCTGAGCTGCCAAAGAATAAACTGTTAGGACACCTGAAATTACGCTAACAGCAATGATTGGCCATCACAAGACAGAGCAAAAGCAGTGTTTCGGCAGAGAAACAGTCACTCATGATCACAACAGGTTTGCCAAAGTTCTGATAACAAACCCATCTTTCCAAAAGCTGGGCCTGCTTCGCCTCCGCAGGAGCTGGCACCGGCGCGGAACGCGGAGGCTGATACTCCCTCGGCTGGAAAACCAATGGCCATGGTTTTCAACCCAAAAATACACACTTGCACTGACGAGCGTCCACGTGCAACAGAACCCTGCAACAGCGCCGTGCCTTCAATGAGCAGCAGGAGGTTGAGTTATATTACAACTACTCTGCGAGCAGCTAACCGGTACCAGCTGTGTAGAACCAAGGAGGTTGAAAACAGGAAAGAGTGTGTGCGGGGAAAACAGTTCATGTGCTCCACTTATGAAAATGCCCTATCGCACACTGAGATTTATGAAACCTTGATGGAAACACAATCCATGCAGAGCTCTATCTGGTTTGCTTTGTTGTGATTTCCTGTTCTGTGTGAAGCTCATAAGTTTCATTCAAGAAAATATTCCTATAACACTCTGATTATTCTACGCTTCCCTTAGATACTTAAGGCTCTGTACGAAATGCTACTTTAAACTATTGATAGACAGTTTAACCAGAATGCTGTTCAGAAACCTAACAGGACATTCAACTCTATTTCTCTAAAGGAGTCATAGACTGCTTATTATTAAAAAAAAACATTATGGTAGTCTGCAGACCGTTTCCCCATTCACGAGGAAACTCTTTAAAATGAAGCAGGAATTAATTTAATAAACAAAAAAGAGGACACTTTTACACCCGCAAAGCTGTAAATGCACAAAAAGGACCAACTCTCCCACACAGCTATGGAGAGTCAGCACCAGATGCTCCAACTGAACTGAGCTAAAAATCCAGCCTAATTATCAGTTTCAGCAGTTCATCTTCCGCTGCTTGTGCTCCCTGACATCCGTCCGATAGCTGCACACAGATGCTAGAACCTCAACAGGTAGAGACAGACTGCAAGAGGCCCCACAGGCGTCAATTAGCGGGCTGCTTCAAAATCAGCAGGGGGACAAATGGATCTTTTTCAGTCTTTGTGCCTAACGTGACACAAGACTGGGATCCAACAGCCAATCAGTCTGTGATCCTGCTCTGGATTTCTGCATTATCATAAAGCTGTTTAGAACTTGATTTTCATGACGGTTTCGTGATCAATTATGGAAGGAAAGGGAACTCAAAATACAGAAGCAGCGTGTGAAAAAGAACTCCACCATTCAATAGCTTGCACGACAGCACTACATTGAAACAATCATCTCTGTTTTGCAGAACTTTAACAGCAAAGTAGCGAGGTTTGCAAAGCGTTCATTAATTGATAGCTTTCTTTTGCCATTTGAAACCAAAAGAAATTCATTCATTTTTTCTATATGGAAATACATTTATCTTTTCAGTCAATGACAGTTAATATTACACTTTGACTCAAAAGCAACTTTTATTCATGTTTGACTTTGACAATTAAAGGACCCATAATAAGACATCCATCATGGCACTCAATAACTAAGTCATTGTTTAATTATGATGGCAGGCAAATTGCTTTAAATAATTAAAGTGAGATTAAAATTCTTTGAGTATGTCACACTGCAAGTGGCCACACAGAGCCAAGCAGGGCTTAGCCAGGGTCACACTCACATAAAAAACATTTAGCCAGCAAGACACGATCGACATCAGTATTGGATTATGTAACAGATCACATCGTCTGCTTCCAGCTGCAATTTAGGCCACTGGCTACCGAGTTTGCTCCGCCAGGGCCATTTGGACATGTGTGCATGAGCAGTTAAATGAGCTAAAAGGGTTAGTTTTAGTGATGCAAACTGACTGGGATGTGATGGGACTCCTGGCAAGGCAGTTATTGTTCACACAGACACAAAAGAATGCTATCAGTCATTTTGTCTAAAGAAAACAAAGGAGAGATTACAAGGCATAGGAAATGAAAAAGTAAAAGGGAGGAAAGGGGAACAACTGTCCTCGCTTCCTTGCTTTTCTTGGCTGAAAAGTGAAATCTTTACAGATGATCCTGATATCACAGAAGTCCATCTTTGATCCTTGCATTTCCCTACATGTGAATGTTTAATACAATCAACATGCAGAATTGTGGCCAATGGCCAATATTTCGGATGATGTGTGTATGCTGGGAGACACCATGTGATTAAAAGGATTGAGATTGGCTGTCAGAGACTGTAGTTGGACCCTTGAAAATATCAGTTTATTCTCTCGTTAAAATGAAAACAGACTGTCCTGTGTCACTGTGATTTCAAATATCTGACGAGGAAAAGTAAAAAACTGATTGTGATGATAAACGTGCTGACAATAAGGGCATCAGAAAGAAAGACATATCTGATTCAGTGTCTTCAAGTTCTGCTTTTTAGCAAAAAATACAAAAGCACTTTCATATTGCTGTTGGTATTCACCTGTCACATTTTCAATCTCTGAAACTTGATTTTAAAACATCATACACATCCTGTGTGGTTGTCCAAGCCAACTTCTTCTGAGAGAAGAGAGATCCCTGCACACAGCTGCGCAAAGTATAAAATCAGGCAACGAACAGGTGTTTATTTAGAGCCAACTGATGAAGAACAGTTGCTCAGAACAGGCTTGCTTGGGTAAGTACACTCATGCTGCAGTCACATCTCAACTGACCGAGGACAGTGGGAGGCTAACAACCCCACACACAGTGTCTTAACATCTTAGGATGTAGCTTTAATCATTAATAGGATGTGAGAGACATTTTTAAATGTTTTAAACTATAATGTATATCTGCAACTTAAAAATAGCATTTGATTAAAAATCTGATTTTCAGCAGCGAAAACAAAGCCAAAAATGTGTATAACTTCGATTTTCCTTTTGTCTGAAAGGAGCTGAAGCAAAAACAACCACATAACACCTTCCTCAGTTATCAGGTCCCTTAAATATTGAAACTCTTCCCATGTCATTGATGTTTACTCATTCTATTTGAATGAGTAAACATCGAGCTCACCCTCTAAGCTAAAGTTCATAATGAATTAATTTGCAGTCACAAAACGTGAAATCAAATCATTAAAACGTTTCAGCTGCGTGTTTAGCTGCAGGTGTTTATTGACTTTTGAAAAAAAAATATAAACAAAGATTTATAAATCAAGGAAAATAATGTCATATTATTTCTTCCTACTGATGGCTACGAAGTGTCACGCCAAACTGCAATGATAAAATCTCAGCTGTTACGATTCCCGGCTTATCTGCAAATGTCACACGCCACGATGAAGAATAGTTTAGGCAGCAAACTAAACATAAAGCTCCTTTTTAATCGGCATGTAACCCACGAACAGGTTTCTCAAAACAAGAGAATTCCAACTTTGTATAACTAACTTACATGACATAGTAATCACAGTTATGTGTTGGAACACTCCGAGGTGGTGAGTAAAGCAGATTTAAAAGTTGATTTTTTCGCAAAAACAGACAAGTTGAGTTTACAAATTGACAGGTGCTACTGGTATTTCTTCATGAAATCAGCGAGTTTGTGTAATTTTATCCTTACACGAACGCTAACGGTAACCTAACGGATTATGGTACAGTCATTCCATCACTCCTTTCTCCAAACCGCCCACTCCTCCTTGCTGGCATTCCCTGTAGTATTGGATAAATTATCTGTAAGGCCGTTTTTTATATACTTACGAGTACCTGTACATAGTTGCTTTCGCAGTATTCCGCTACTCTTTCCAGGTTGGTAAAACTATCCAGCAACGCTCTCCGTCCCGCTGGAATTTCTTCCTCCAGCAGCATCTGTAGCTCCGCCATCTTTACATGCTTTTTACTACTAACGGCTGCAGCTCGCGCTGACTGGATGTGTCGTGCTGCCTTTGGGGGCTGTGGGAAATATCAACAACGTGACCATCTGTACGATAAAACGTGAGCACGCTGTTTGTTGCCATTGCTGTTAGTAAATTCCACAATACATACCAGAACAGAAAAACATTTTTTTGCAGCTGTCAAAAGACGACACAACAGATCACTGTGAGTGTGCACATACTGTTTATTGACTTATTTACAAAATTACATCCAGTAAACAAGTAGTGGGTACACTGTACAAAAACATACAATAAATAAGCAAAATAAATTATGTTGAGTCGACACAGACAGAAGGACAGATTTCATACGGGGTTCTCAATGTTTTCATCTCCTCTTGGGTATCCCTCTACCTCCATTGTCATCAAGAATTCTGTGTAGTAAAAATGAAAACAAGAACATCACTTTACAGATTGATGGAAATCACACACTCTCCCTGTTTGCTGCTCTGTTTGCCTTACAATTACAGTGAAGTGAAAATCAAACTGTTTTCTTTGGTGACATCAAGTGGAAGTCACATGAATTACACTAGGATGAGCTATGATGTCACATGGGGAGAACATGCAAACTCCAAACAGAAAGGTCTCGAACTGGGATCCCTATTGCTACAAGATGATGGCGCTAACCACCACCCCAGCCCTGTCTGCTAGTCTTTTCTGATATGAAGATGCTTACTAGTACTCCATGAGGTCAACGGCTACCAAACAACAGTTACCTGGCAGCTGTATATTACCTTCTGTGTAGTCGATGTCCGGCCGCGTGGACACAACAGCCCAGGCCAAACCCACTAACAGCGCCACCACAAGATTGACCACGATCCACGGCCGCAGGATCTGCTCCTCTGAGCCCGAGGGCCTACGGTAGGCGAAGGGGGAAAGCAACAAGCTTTGATCACGAACAGGTACAAGCAGCCCAGAGGAGGCATCTGACATTTGATTTTGTTGATAGTGGATTTCTGGCAAACAAAATATGGCAAATATTATCCTTGGATCTTTCCTCTGTGTTAGATCACAACAAAAAGCATCTTAGTCAAGAATGCAATCACTTTTTTTTTTCTGGTTGTAATGAGATCATTTATGCTGTTTTCTTTATGAGTTCATACACCATCAAAAAATCAGAGTTCTCACCACAGAGTCGCATTGGCGGACGGATAGAGGTTGATGCGATCACTGGTCATTTGCTGGCTGAGGGACAGGATCAGGGCTATAAAATATACTGAATACACACAAACGATTAAGAACCCTTAATCATCATCGCCCTTATCACCAATGAATCTTTGCCTGTTCTTACTTACAGAATGACGCCAGGGCAACAGGGTCGAGGGTGAGAAAGCCTCTCAGGGCCATGGAAGTCTTGGCCAGGTTCACCCTGCAGGCAACACCAAAGAACAGCTTTAGTAGGGCCTGCTATGGAGCAGTTCCTATGAACTTTAAATGAGAAAGACATGATGTTTCTGGGGGTTTGTTTGTCTTTGAAGCTGACGTGCCGGTTGCTGTTGAACATGGTGCTCACAGACCTGTCGAAGGCGGACACGGTGCTGATGGCGAGCAGCAGGTAGAGCAGAGACTGCGCCGGGTAGGCCAGCGGATGGTACTGCTGCAGCAGGTTGGACAGCGAAGTCATCTGATCGCCCGCCAGCACGTACACAACGATAATGTTCCACACGGCAAAACCGGCCAGGAATCCGTGAGAGAACAGCCCGATCACCCTAAAGAGAGACAACACAACCCAGAGCTAAACACAACACCGTTTCATTCTCACATTATTTCTGTGATTCATAAAGATCACCTTTGTTTGAGGAATGAATCATCATGAATCATGATGTTGCATAACCTACTTTCAAGGTTATTTGTGCCCCCATTTTTTCACTTTTTTGTATTATGTACAAAACATATGATTGGGCATGCATTTGAGGGTGTCGGAAAATGGTTCCCTGCAGGGAACAAATACGTTTCTGCTGCTTTCCTGTTTTTCCAGACAAAGGCTGAGTTGATTCACTTGGCTAAAAGCACATAAAGTAGTTGAAAAGACCACCGTGAGGATCAGTCCACCAACACTGAAGTACTCCAAAGCCTCAAACATCCAGATTTAATCTGACTCTGACAAACACAGGAGATATTTTATTGCCCAAGAACATGAAAACTTTAATAAGGAACCTGATTAATGCTTTCATCACATGTCATTTCCAGAAAATACAGAAATCTCAACTATTTCCAGCATCCAGAAAAGTACATCTTGCATTTGTAACAAATAAGCAAAATCCTATAACACAGATGTTATACTCAGAGATGGAGATGTTTTTTTGTGTAGTTGGGATTTGGTGGTGAACACGTGTGAGTGCAGACCTGAAGCCGCCGTGAACCCTCAAAGCGATGTCCCTGGTGGTCCAGATCTGCCTGGGGTCCATGTAGTCGTCCATCAGCTCTGTGTGTCTGAGCTGCTCCACTCGATCCGCCTGAAAACGTCCTGCACACACAGCCATTTAAGAAACAAATGTAATACTCCACAGGCGTGGAGAAATTCCAAAGACATGTATACAGACATCCAGCAGCACAGTTTCTTCTGCTGCTAATAGCCTGCAAGTCATGGACTGACACAAAGTGGATATATACACACACACACACATTTATGGAAGTAACCTATTTGTATCAAAAGTGTAATTACACTTCATATGTAAGCATAGAAATATGAACAAGATGACCACAAAGTCAAAAATAAATGCCAACAGCAATCAGCACTGTCTTTGTTTTCTTAGTGTGAATCTCCTTTGGTCCAGGCCTCAGTGTTAAACCTTTAACAGCGAGTCACACTCACGGTTCCTCTCCACGAAGACTTTGCCGACCGGGTGGCTCTGTCCGTGCGGGGCGGAGAACAGGGAATGCTGGGGGATGGGCGACTGGGCATCGGAGATTATGTCATCATCTTCGACTCCCAGGTCATTGCTGGTGTGCTCTGCGGCCTTTGCCTTTTTGCTAGATAATTCAAGAAAATGGCATTTAGCAGATGGAACAACAAAATGTCTTTGTTCACAGGATTCTGCTTGAACTATTTTATTGTAAAACCAATTCCTAATTCACCATTGACTTTCTCCTAGTTTTTCCATCTCACTGCTAATGAGGAGCTGATTGAAAAACATTTCCAGTTTAATTGATTAAGTTTGAACGATGAACATCTGACTTCCCCTCGGATACCGCCATGAGCTGAATCAAAGCTGCCATGGTTACCTCTTCTTTTTGGTTCTTCTGGTGACAGGAACGGCCGTTTCCTCTCCATCCAGGCCTGAGTCGACCGTGTTTCCGTTTGGAACATCAGCATGCTCCGTTTCCTGGTCTGATGTACAAAAACATGACAGAAAGAGCCTTTCAGATGATGAATTTTACATACAACACCCTAAAATTCTGAAGACATCTAACATATGGTGACTCCCCACCAGCTGTCTTGCACCTCTTTAGTGAAAAGTAAAGGTTTGCTACCAATAGTGGAGGCTTTCTTCTTTTTCTTCTTCTTCTGCGGTGCTGGATCCTGCAGATCAGGAGTCAGAGGGTCCCTGCTCTCAGAGCTAATCCTATTGGTCACATTCTCCATCTCCACCTCCAGGCCCACTGTAACAGAGCAGGGCAGGAACGTGTAAATAGAGCAAAGCAGAACAGAGGCTGGTTTAAAGCTGCTGATCACCTTCCCCCTGCTCCTCCGTCTCGTTCGCCTCCTTCTTCACTTTCCTCTTCTTGCTCTTAACTGTTGGCATGGCGGCGGCTTTCTGCTAAAGAATCAGAAGTTCAGAATGAATCTCTGAACGTGTAACAGGCGGCGTACCGTCTAAAAGTAATTTAGGTCAGTAAACGAGTGTTTCCCAAGGATTTTCAAGTGGTCGGGCGGTGACGCCTGTTTGAGATAACAGGATTAGCTTGAGCTCTGACGACAGGTGGTGGAGCAAGCTTTGGGAAACGTGCCACAAACCACTCAGTCCTGTGCACATCAAAAGCAACACGAAGTCATTTGGAAAAGTTGTGCAGCAGATAATGCACCGTGATGACTCAGAAGAAAGAGATACCCGCTTTGGCCATTGTAAGAAAGGCCTCTACAACTAACACGGCAGCAAAAAGGGATCAATTGCCATCTCTATATTGGACATTTTAAAATCAGATTTAGGTCAATTCGACACATGCTCACTCCAGAAAGTTTGGTAGCCGCAGTGGTTCAAGGTACAAAATGTTTTATTATGAATAATAAGCTCATTGTTTGAATGAATTCTGAGCTTTTCAAAACTTACATGCACACATTTTCTTTTCAAAATGGTAACATCATCTGTTTTGTACCCTATACAATTGTAATAAAAGTACTGACAAGAAAACCCTGTTTAAGAACACTCATAGGAAGTAAAATGAGTTGTGAGACAATGCAAATGATTGATTACCTCTCAACTCACCTGTTTGGTTCAGATTCAACTTAAATAATACGGGCTTACTTTTAAAAATGGATAAAACTGTGGTGAGAGTGTGAGAAAAATGGTCATATTTGTTTCATCACATCATAAGAGCACTGCACTCATCTCAAAGCCGCCATCGTCACAAATGTGTTTCTAGAGTATCATTATTTACCATAGATCTTCATGTTCCTATGGCATTACTCCAGTTATCAGAGTGAAGACTCCCTGGGCATTAATACAAGACCACATCACACAACTATTTGCAGAAGAAAAACAATGAGCAAGCTCATTTTTTGGTCATTTTTTCATTGAGACACATATCTCCCCCAAAACATTGGCATTACCACTCCAGCACTCCTAAAGATTCTCCATAAAAACCTACTTTCTATCCAATCTAAATAGTGACATAATTTTACTGTTTTTCCCAAGATTATCCTGTGACCCACATGTAAAACTATAATATATCGTTTTTTGTTATAGCATTTCCCAAAATAAGCTTCCTGATGTTGGATATTTCACTTTATAATTATATTTTACCAATAAATGTGTTTTTGGAGCTGAATGAATTCATGAATGAAGAGGCAATTATGTGAGAATTTCTCATCAACGATGACCTTTGTATTCATGTTTTAGAGCTCTGAATAGGAACATGTCAGGTCGAGGAACTATTGCTAAAATTAATTGTAATCCACATTCATGTTTTTCTTGGTTTTATTTGCCTTTGTGGGTGGTATTGAAATATATTAGTTGGTAGAAAACAGGCCAAAGTTAAATTGAGGCTAAAGAGACAGTAAAATAGGATAACATGATAGAAATACTATTCACACAACGTTCAACTATCCAGCACACAAACCAACAACACATACAGTATATGCAGTGTGCTTTGCAGCCTGTGGAAATTGAGAAAGAACTAATGGACTCTGAATGGACACATTGCATATTACAGTCAAGGAGGACTTAACAAATAATAGTATTTTGAATGAGCTGAATGTTATGACTAGTAAAAAGGTTTTTAAAAGGTTTTTATGCCTTGTATTGTGACATAACAGATAAAAAGACGGTAAAACATCCTGATAATCAACATGCAAGAAGTAAAACAGATGGAGCAACTGGATGTACAATACAATTTCCAAATGAGGACCAACATTTCAGGTAAGATATACTAAGCTTAGATAATGTTTACAACATCTTCCTTCTATATGCAATAGGAAGGACTGGTCTGAAGCATTGACAGGTCGCCCAAAGTAATGCACAATGATATAAACTTGAAACATGAAAGTTGAATTATGTTATGAAAATATTGTCTTTCTACATACGTTACTGTCAGATGGAAATCAGTGGCTGTTCTCACCTGTGAAGCTGAGTGTTTGAGGGGATGAAGCTACAGATGGTCCTCCTGTGTATCTGATCTCATAAAGCTGAAGTCTCCTAGAGTGAGCCTGAGTGTAAATACTTTCCCCTTCTTCCTTCTTTTCCCCCCTATCTTTTCATTGTGTTTAATCCCAAACCCTTAAAACCATCTCGGGGATTCTTTTACTGGACATCTTGAAGCATAAACACAGGACAGGGTGGTAAAGACGACTGAGAGGCGGGAGGTCTGCAGCTCTGAGGTTCCTCTCAGGGTTTAGAGTGGCAGGTTGGTCACATGCTAAGCTGTGGCAGCCTCTGGGAGCTTTGTGATTGGTTAATCAGATGTGATGTCAGATGCTGAACATGCCACGAATTAGCCCGCATGCTAATAATCCCTTTGTGCTTTGTTATGGACGTTTCCCCCAACAGATCCAACCAATATTGACTCTTTAAGACACAGTAATAGCTGAATTTGAGCTGGAAATGTTCATTTTATATCTGTGTCAACATCCAATTGAGTTCCAATTAATCTTGTAAAAAAATGTTCAACCAAAAATCAGCAAAAGCGTGGGCAGCACTGAAAACATAATTCTTACATTTAAACATAAGAAATACCATCTTTCATGTTTGTTGTATGTCTATACTAGCATTTCAAGTAATGCTAAAGTGTATTTCTAAACAGAAATATATAATCATCTATTTTAACAGTCAAAATTGTTAGAAATACAGTAATTGAAACAAGTAAAACCAGATTATTTTCAGCACTTACATGTCATTTTACATTTTCAGTGCAGCCGGTTTTTAAGTCACTTCTATAAAACTGTTGGTTTGAAAAACTCTACAGGTGGACCTGCTCTCCCTGAGTTTAACAGGTTAAAGATAAAACCCTCTCAGTGTAGAAAGGTCACTAGAAGCCATCCAATTAGAGAAACAAGAGGGCAGACACAGCTCCTACAGAAAGGAGCTGTCAGCAATCATTTGAAAATCTACTAATGAAAAACAGACAGCAATAAAAATGCCTTTTTCAGGATAAAAGCTATTCCCACTTATGATTCCGCATTTCTCTTGACGGCTGCAAACAACTTGACCTGAACCCATCTGAGGTTTTTGACTCAGCTTTAAAGGATCAGCACAGAGTTGCAGCTCCTCCTTCAATCCACCTCCCTGTCGTCTCCTACCTGCCGTGTCGTGTTACACCGACTGCTGTTTGTGTTGATGACAGTCTGTATGATACAGGGCGGAGACACTAATCCTCCTGGTAATTCGGCTGAGCGACAGCTGCCCTGCAGAGGATTAACCTCTGAGACACAGAGGGGTTAACACGCCCGCAACGTTGTTTCTTTTTCACTACCTGCTGGGATATTTTTTATCGATATTCAAAGTTCCTCCAGGATGAGAGGTTTTGCCAGTGTATAATTCCGTCTAACTTTATCTTTACACATACTTCAGTTGTTTTCTCAGTTGCAAATGTGTCCTGAATACGTGTAGAAGGTCAGCTGTGATCAGTGGGCACCCAGAGGATCATTTTAGGCTCCAATTTCCTTTGAAACTTACCGATTATGTCTGGCAGCATGTGTTAAATGACTTAAATTGTCACACAGCTCATAAATCTGCTTTAACATCAGCCAAGAAATGTATTAAATTTATAACAAGACGTATTCGATGAAGAAAAATGGTCAGACCCTGCTTTGCTCGTTATATATCAAGGCACTTACATACATTAGCTACAATAGAAAAAGCATATTGTGTGTTTAGAGTAATTAATGCAGTTGTAAACTTAATTTATAACTTAAAACTTGATTAGTGAAACACTAAGTTTTTCAATAGCATGATTACATGTAGTTCAAGCTCCTTACCTCCAGGAGTCACTGTAACTATTCTTTGGGACTGTGGGCCATCAAATGGAGCAAAATGGAAGCTTTAATTGTCTCCTCACCTAGTCTAGTTTGATGTAAAGAGATGTCGAAGAGAAGGATTTCAGGTTTGTCGTTCCCTCGGCACATGTTCAGTCTTAACAAGCTGTCAGGAATAAATTAGGGTCAACAAGTTTATCTGAATATGTCCAATAGCACAGCTCAATCTCTTTTTGATCAGACATATTGGAAACAAAAGGGGAGCTGCTCTCTTTCCCTCTGTTAGTGTGCTCACAAGCACAAAACAAAACCTCTGCTGGAGGTTATAGAAGCTGCTGTCAGCAAGGTGGAGGAGGGATGATGGTCTGGGCTGCCTCTGCAGCATCAGGACCTGGAAGTCCACAATGAACTCCTCTGGATCCTGAAGTATTCAGTCGGAATTTAAGTCATCTGCACCTCAGCTAAGGCTTAACTGAAGCTGTCAACAGGACAAAGATCCCAAACTCAGAAGCAGATCTAAGGCAGAAAGCCTGAGGAAGAAAATAACCAAAATCCTGCAATGGTCCGGTCTGTCCAGACCTCCGACTGATTGAACTGCTGTGTTGTGACCTTTTAAAGCTGTGCAGAAAGCGGTGCTTTAAAAGAACCTCAATACACTGGAGCAACGATGAAACAATGAGGGCCAAAATTTCTCCGCAACCTTCTGAAAGACTGATTGCATCATCAGGAAAAAACATTACGTCAAGCTATTGGTGCTGGTTCAACAAGCTGTCATAGGGTGTGCTCAGCTGTCCCACACAGCTTTTTCATAGAACTAACAGAAAAAAAACGGTGATTTTAGAGTGTATTTGTGCTATGTGACATGTGATTGTGGCTGTTCGTGCCTTGGTTAAGACCCGCCGAATCTGTCCTCAGAATGATTAGCTGTTTTGGCTTCCGCGTTTGACGCTGTCATTTGCCTCCCTCACAATAACCCATACACCGCTCCACACAGGAGATTTCACGCCGCGGCGGCTGCCAGGTGTAATGACATCAGGCGTAGGTGACAAGACATGACAGCGGCGGCAGATATGAAGGAGCGTCTGGGCCCAGCTCTCCACAAAGGAAGCACAAAGAGCCGCGGCTAATTACAGCCGCTGTCAACAAGCCTCATTGGAAATGCAGCAAAGCTAATGGAGGCGTGCTCCTTTCTGTGTCCTCACAGCGCTGGTGCACATATTATTCATACTCCAGCCCCAAGCACACGCACACCTCAGCGTTAGCATGTTGAACGCTGAGATTTGCTTGGCCCACGGGCAGCTGGCTGCTGGGCTTATTTTTTATTCTACAGAGAAAAAAAACAAAGCACCAAGACACTTCAAATTAAAAGGGAGAAAATTAAAATACTTAATCGGTCACGCATTTCAAAAGGCCTATTAAATAGTCTCAAATAAGACTTAATTTCATATTAACACTTATCAGTTAACATGTTGAAACAGATTGAAAATAAAACTGAAGGTCCGGTGGATTCGTAGAGAGCTTATGCAACTTGCATTGGCCTAAATCTATTTATTTATGACCCGGTGCGTGAATTAGCACAATAATTCCTGCAATGGAGGGATTAAATACTTTATTCAAACCACCCTTACTTATTGATGGGGTGGACAGCGTTCGGTGTAGAACTGGGGCCTCTAAAATGCAGGTCACGGGGGTAACTTGAGCACTCTTGCCTTATTAATAATTGTGTGTCGAGTCAGTCCACAAACCTGACTGAGATGTTGACGTCGCATGGCAGGAGCATTGGGCCTTCAGATGAATGTGAAAGCAGAATAGCATTTTTCCCGGTGACTCTCCTGCCTGCCTCCAGCTGGCTGACGGCTCTGATTGACTAAATACTGAGAAACCATAATGTCTGTCACGTCTGGGGGAATGTCTGGTGTCTCGTCATGTGTTGATTACCTATTGTGTACACCTGGGGTTCCCCTCCCTCATGTGCTTAAATAGTCCTCGTTTCCCATGTCCTGTGCCAGTTCGTTTTCGTCCTTCTTGTTGCGTCTTTTTGCGTCTCTCGTCCCTCGTCTTTCGTCTCCCCATGTCACGTAAGGTTTTGCTTTTTGCCATAGTCTTATTTACTTTGTTCCAAAGCCATGTTTTTTCACAGTTTTGCCACTGCCTTGTTTTTTAACCTTGTCTGGACTTCCACCCTTTTGAGCATTTTTTGTTACAATAAACCCTGTTTTCGTCATCTCCGCGCCTGAGTCCTCCTTCAAAACCCACCCCTCCCTGACAATGTCTAAAGTGATATTTCTATCATGAGGTAAACGCTGCATTGAGCGAGTGAGAGAGGTAAAAAAAAGAAAGAACAATAAGTCCTGAGTTCAGAAAACATGATTATTAAAGCTGATATCCTGCTGTGTGACTTGCACTGATTGGAGGGTCAGGGGTTGGACTCCATGTTCCTCCAGGTTACATGTTAAAAATTCTTTGGGCCGAGGAACCAAACCTCAGGCTGCCTGCCAGTGATAGAATGACATGTGGCGTAAAATGCTTTGAGTGGTCAGTTTGACTGGAAAAACACCATATAAGTAAAATCCATGATCCATTTACCATGATGATAAAATATTTATAACACACTGTGACGTAAATAAATCAATTATTCATGGAATTTATAATCCACAAGGTCACTGATACAGATACAATAGCAAAATAAGGCATTTTATAGGCTTTCATTTTACATTAACTTTTAGGTTTTGTATTTTTATGGTGCATAGATTTTTTAAATACAGATCATGAAATCATGAATCATGGAATATAATAATGCGTATAAATATACTCACTATCAAAGAGTAGATTGGAGGAGTAGTAGTTAGCAAAAATAATCAAATTTACGATATTGATTAGCAGAAATGGAAAAAACCTAAAGGATTGTAAGGGAAGTACTTAGAGGCCATCTCTGAGACAGTCCCTTAAGTCATATTTGTATGAAATATACTGAAAAAATTGACATGAAGTCCTATACATTAGCTGCAAATTAGTAGGATATGTCTAAGGAGTCAATGATGATGAAGCTTTAGTTTTAACACTGAGTTATTATGTTTCACCTACTTGATATGCATAGTCACAAACCTGGGTCAAAGGTTCAGGGGTATTCTTTTTTTTAAACAGGATAACAAGAAATAGAACAATATCGAACCTGCTCCCACCCTTCAACTCTAAGATACAGGATTATTAACTTTTACAGTTCTGAAAATAAAGCCGTAAATCATATTTTACCTTGAAGTTATGGTTCTCATATTTACATTTCCTTACCTGAAAAAGAGGCACTAAAAATATTCACTGGCACCGCTTCTTTACTAAAGTGTAAATGGCAATAGACAGTCAGGGAACTTCTGGTGACGTTGTCTTTCATTTTTCTCCATGCCCTCATCTGTATACCGTCTCTGTCTGCAATTCATCTTCTCTAACATTTGCTTCAGGTTTTTTTTTACAACAGAGAAGGAAAACCTGGGGGCCAGGCAGGACCTGTCTCAGGAAAGACTGCAGGGGCTGCAGCAAAGCACAGCATCCATGAAAGCTTGTTTGAATTCCTTCGGCGGAACTTCAGTGAGTCAATTCTCCGGGGAATTCATTTTCCTCATGCAGAGGGAGGTTTGTGAGTAGGGAGAGAGAAAAGCACGCTCATTAAATCAGGCCGGTTACCCGAAGATTGTGTTTGACGCTGTGAAGCTCTGCCCAAGACTTTCCTCAGATATCCTGAGCATGCTTAGTTTGGGCTTATGTTACGCCTGCATTGCATCATTTGCAGACTTTTTGCATAATCCTTTGAGCTGTATTCACCAAGCTTGTGAGAAAATCAGTTCAGCAGCTGTTGAAATAATAGTTGGGGTCTTTAACTAATAAATAACCTCATAACAAACTAATGCTACATTTACCAGAATAATTTTTTAATCACAAAACGCTTTTGCACAGCAAATCCATTTATTTGGGATGCGTCCTTCATGTTCACCATAACTTATATTCCTTGATACAGAGTTCACGGAGTGCTTGGCTCTGAAAAACAAGTAAATCTGCTTATCAAATGTTTGAAATTAATGGCATTATCTGACATGGTCCTCTGATAACTCAAAAACAGTCAGTGCAATTATAAAGCTTTGCTCTTTTAATTATTCATTTCAATCTGTAACTCGTGGCAGTAAAACATCTCTGCTGCCTTCGGCAAACAGCATCTTCAAAAATGAAAATGAAATAAATAAATGAAAACGGACAAATCTTAAATTGCACAAAACAAAACCTGGCTCCACTTTACGTCACACCAAAAGGTAATAGTTTGATAACAAGCTGGTAACAAAGACCTCCCCTGTAGTTACCTAAGTAACAAGCAAGTACTCGATAAAAAATGATAAGAACTGGTACGCCATGTAAGCCGGAAACTGACCATAAAAATCTCATTTCCATCCTCTTCTTGCAATTCGGCCCAAATATAATATGTTTGCTCTTTGAAGGTGTCCATGGTGATCTCTGTGGGGAAGAAAAGCTGCTCTTTGTTGCTCAGGGGAGAACAAACTATCCATTTCTTGAATCCACAAACACCTGGCAGAGGAAATAACATGGAGACTCCCAAACCATCACCTGCCATACGTGCACTGGTTTTGTGGGAGAGGGGAGTTTCTGAAGATAAACATCCGAAAATCTCATAAAACTCTTTGCTGATCAGTTTCATCCTTTGGGGGAAAAACTTACCTAATGGAAGTTATTTTGGAGTGTGTCGTCAAATTACCATACTGTTTGCTGGCGGTGTGTGTTCATCTCTCGACCCGGGCCGGTGTATCTGTTACAGTCTGCTCTGGATTTCTGACATCTGATAAACATCTCTGCTGTCAGACTCGCCTAGCCTCACAGCAGCGCTAAACTCCTGCACAGCCAAGCCCAATCTCTTGTATTTACAAGTGATGGGCTCAGGTTGTTACGGAGGGGAGGATCTCCTCCAAAGGAAAAGTCTCACTCCGACCCCTCGTGGGAGACGACTCGTTGTGTGAAGTGTAAAGTGTCAACATGGGTGAGAGCAGAAACAGCCATCGAGGGACGAGCGGATTTCAGCACGAAGCTGAATAAACGAAATTGAAAACATGTCCAGCCGTTGTGAAAACTTCGGCCAGACTCAAATCCTGCTGCGGAAAAAGCTTTTTCACAAGCAGATGAACCTGTTGCAGAGTGGTTTGACTTCATGATTAGCATTAGCTAAAAGCTTTCAAGTGCACACTCAGCCTGGTTCCAATTCTCTCTTTAATTTGAATAGACTTTAGCTCTAAAACACTGGTTTGTGCAAATGGTTTTAAGTTCTCTGGGTCTCATTATCGTTGCCCTTTTTAATACTACTTTCAATAACAATCTCATCCCATCGGTTGAACACACAAATATTTTGAATTTGCAGAATTCGCTGCACCTTTCCCAAGTTGGAGCTGCTTTTCTGGGACTGAAAAGTTTTGAAAATCCCTTAAAATAACCTTAAAACATCCTCTTTGTTTAATCTGTAATGTTTACTGCTCGAGCAAACTTTTGCTCCCTGGCTTTAACCCCAGCGTCAAATTGAGCGCTGTGGTAAAAGTGCACCGAGTCAGGGGGAGGAAAAACTGCCCAAAAGGGTGTCCACAATCCCAGTTTACAGAAATGAAAGTGTAAAACCAACGATCAACAAGAAAGGGGTCTGACAACTTCCGATGAACTGTTGTGGAAGGTAACATCTGCACATTCGGAGAGCACAGATTTACCTTTCAGGTTTCCGTCCAGTTAGTTGTTGCACAAACTTTAACATTATTTGACGTATGGTTTCAAAATGATTCGACAGGAAGCCCTGCAGAAACTCCGCTACAGTACCCAGACATTTTTAGACAAGATGGGAATGAAGACTCCCGCTCAACAGATAAGAAAATGAGGTCTGACACGAAATCTCTAAAAGGATCAACTTTGGTATAACTGTTTTAGTTCTTCCCGGCGGCTGCTGCTGGGAGCTGCCACAGAACAACCGGGAGATCAGTCCGGAGCAGAATCAGAAGTCGTCAGACTGACGTGTAGAAATATCCTGCTGCAGGTGCACCTTGAGGGAAAAAAGAGCTTCACCTGGACCCATCATCCAGGAGCCAACAGCGCGTAAGAATCGTTCGGGAGTTTGTCCTTTTCGTTTTCCACGATCTTCCAGTGTCGGATTGAAGGAATATCACAGTACCTCACGCTGCCAAGACTGCTTAGACTCGCACACACACACACACACGATTAAAGGTCCGAAACTTGGTGGTTCTCTGTGTGTCACGCCGAGCTGAGGCTGTCGAAACCGCAGAACTTCCAGCGTTTCTCCAGAGTGGCGCCCACGCCGCTCAGCTCCTGCCGGAACATGGCGGGCAGCCGGACCATGAGACGCTCCAGCTCCCCGGCAGAAACCTCCGGGAGGGAAACAGCGAGAGAAAAGAAGAATTAGCACCAACACCGAAAGATCAGACCGAAGTTGGTAGTGTCCTGTAAATCTCTGACAAATTTGCTGAATGTAAACACATGTTGGTTGCTGGACAAGAGGGGGAAGCTTTTACAAACTGAAGGAAAACGGGATAATACAGGCATAAAAATGGCCCTTTTTGAGAACCAGTTAGACCAGCAAGATTTTCTACAGCCTAGTTCTTGGAAGCCATCATTTTCCTTGGCTGTGTTTGTTTACATCTGTTGACAATAAACAGTATTCTTTTTCCTATTTTAGCTGTATACACAAGATAGGAAAGTGGCAGGGAGGACAAAAAAGAGAACACAGAAACAAAGCCGTCCCCTCAAAATGAACAAAACCACCAGTGATAACAGTAAAAATATTGAGAAATTCAATGAATAATCAGAGATAATGGGAATCATCCATTCTAAAACACAATGACATATAAAGTGTTAACTCTTGGTAGGAGATGGTTTATATGATGTGTATATGTCAGAGGAACTAAACAGCCATGGGACCATGTATCATTTGATTTGTATCATCATTCTTTTCGTAGAGCTATGAAAAGATCCTATATTCTAATAAAAGTGAGGGCTTTCGAGTAAATGTAATTTTCTCTGTCCCATTCTTTTGGGTCCATATGCAGCATTTTAGGGGATCTGGTTCAGTGCCCATTAAAGCCCTCTGGCACAGATCCCAACATTGCCACCGAGGGGTCCAGTTTTGAAATACCTATAACACTATTTTCAGCATTTACTGAAAACTGACTTCTACAGGCCGAATTTGAATCAGCTGTGACCTTGAATGCACCATCAGTCCACTTCTAAAATGAAAACCAGAGGAATAAAGTTTATTTATTGTTGTTTTTTTTTAAGTACACCTCAGATGCTGGGAAGTTATGTCAACTTTTGAAAAACAGATACAAAACAGATACAAATTTCTATCGTATCAACCGTTTCACTTTTGTTTGGACTATTGCTTTTCAGTTTTGATTTTTTCTTTGACTTAAAAGTAATTTGAATTGTTCAAATTTAGTGCAGAAAAGGAAAGGAAGAAATAGTATAACAAGAAAGACCGCTAAGAGAACCTGCATCCTGCTGCTAAGTGAGAGATCTGTGATTAACAAGCCGGTGTAGCGCCTGAACCTGATCCCCTGAAAATATCCGCCCCCCTTTTATTGGCTCATTTATCAAAATAAACCGATTCTAATTCTTTCAAATAAATTCCGCAATGTGCTAATTTCATTGATTCATCATGCAGCGGGTTTAAGGAGTCACCGTATAGATGTGTTTGTTATAACAGAGAAACTGGATACTGTGGAAGGTCCAAAAAAAGCATGACCTCATATGCTCATAAACAAATAAACACACAAAATAGACAGAAAAAAGCAAAGATGAAGGAAGCATTAGACATGAAGCTTGACGTGGCTATCTTTACCTTTGAGTCCAGTCTCTGTATGTATGACCAGAGATATTCGAGATTGGCCCCAAATGGATGGACGTGGAGGAAGGTCGATATGATGCCTTCAGGGGTAAAGCAGAAAGATAATTTATTGTTCAGTAAAAACAAAACATGACAGCACAGGTAAATCATACCATTTATATATATGTGTTTTAAATTATCAAAGCAGAGCAGGTGAAACCTCGAGAGTCAGGGGGAAGGTAATTGCTCGTTTTTTAAATTCACTGAGGAGACTTAAAGGTTTCCCTTCTCCCTCCATCTGCCTGATCTGAACGATGTGGCGCGGGCCATTTTGATTTCTTGGGGAACGGCTGTCAGATGTCGATCGCGTGTCACATATACCGCCTCAGTGATTTACAAGGTTTACTGATTCCAGATTCTGCATCCTCACGAAGTGGCCACGCGACGAACGAACGGCAGAAAAAAAACAGAAAAAAAAAAGAAAAACGCTGGCTGGAGCAGAAACGGTTCTCGAGTTGATTACTGCTGAGAGGTCTTGCAGAAGCGGGCAGTCGTGCAGAGAGGGAGGGGGGGGGGGGAGAACGGGGGGAGGGGGGGGTAGGAAAATAGAGTGGCATCCCCTTGAGGATCCAGCACAGCCAATATTTATTTCCTTGATTTATGTGGCGAAACGCTGGCAATTACAGACGGGCCTAATTCAATTCCTTCCACCAGGCCTGCTCACATGGAACAGTGCCATCAGAGGGGAGCTAGGGGTGGGGTGATGGGGGTGGGGGGCCGGGGGGGGGGTCGGGGAGCTGAGTGTGCACTATCCTCAAAGTAAAAGTTAAACTTCCAACTTGTAGGGGGGGAAAGAAAAATGCCCCGTGACAGAAAAAGTTCCCTCGGCACGGTGTCCGATCGCCACCTGCAGCGCGTCCGAATCAGCAAATCGGACATATAAAACAGTATTTACTGAATTTTTCACGCCTCGTACATTATTCAGAGGCACAAAATGCAGCCGCGCTTTCTCACACCTCGATGAGAAAGAAGGTGGTGCTTCGGTTGAGGTTCCAGTGCTAACACAGCATGAAGGGGACTGTGGAGCTAATGTAACTAAAGAACAGGAAGGACAAAACAGAAGGCAAAAAAGAACTGCTCTTTACACATTTTTACCCCTTTATAGGAGAGGAAACGCATCATGCATATATCTGTTTGCTGCCTCGCGTTCCTCTTAAAATATTCCTTTTTTTTAGGGAAACCTCCCGGCATTTGCAGTTTGCAGGCAGCTCCAGAGAAAAGACACAGAGCCCTGCCTCCTCTCTCCTTCATATCGGGATTTTCTTTGGCGCCTCTAAGAGAGATAAATGTCCTGCTGTTTCTTCTGCCTTGGACAGAGCCGAGCAAACACAGACTGCTTATTGCTTTGCCTCCTCACGCTGCTGTGTTACACGGTGGCTTCGAAATGACACAGAGACAGAAAAGAGCTGAAACAAGACAAACTCTGGACGCTCTGTGTGGCCGATAGAGACCGCGATTCACTCACGTTTTGCTCTGTTAAATCAACTTTAAAATTTTACGACCAAACAGATTCACATACTGTAGGAGCAGAGGGGAAACAAACAAGATCAATAAATTCTCTCCATGCTGTGATGCCTGAATCCAAAAACAGTGCCTTGGAAGCAAAAAATTAACCCGGTTTGACTTTTCAGGTCATTATTTTAACTAATAGTTAAACTGCTTTTCTCCCAAGAAAAGTAAGAAATGGGAATATGTTCCCTTAGCTGTAATAAAGGCAAAAATAAGTAGTTATCCAGAAATTCTCAGCTAACAAACTCTCCTGCCTCCTGCTGCAGTAGGAAGGAAAAAGGGTGGAAACGCTCCTGAAGCTGATAGATGCTCCAGACATCTTTAGCTAAACTGAGTCACCACAACTGGAAAATATGCTGGTCGTGCCTTGAAGCTCAACACAACAACTGAGTTGTGTGACCATCTAAGGTCACCCATTTCCACGCTGAACAGTGTGTGACCCTACGAGATGTTGCTAGTTTGGCATGTCTTCACTTTAAAAAGGCTACATGTCAGTTCTTATAAATGAGTCGGACTACAGGAGTATGTAATTCCTTCATAAACGATCAGATTTGACGGGATTTAGCTTTCTGTATCTGTGCCGTGTTAAGTTTCGATCGTATTTACCTAAAAGTAGGGCTTCTTTTTCTGATGCGACTCCTCTAATCAACTCACTCCTCCTGTCTCTGCTGAGGAACACCGCAGGATGAGAGCCGTTCATCCCCTGTGAAGACACACACATATAAAAAGCGGACTAAAAGTGAAAATAGTCCAAATCACCCATAAATGTATAAGTTACCAATAAATGTGAACAGGCTGTGAGGAGGTTGTGGACAAAACCCAACAGCTAAATAATTTACCGAGCAGCCCTTTGAAAAAGAATCAGAATTGTTGTGTTACTCTAAAGGGAATTTGACTTCATTAAAGACTTCAAATAAAATGACTGAAGCCGGATCTTTATCTTTATCGCAGATGAGAGGGAACTTTAAAGATGGAAGTCATTTGCTTTTTTGTTGTGACCCTCTTTTCTTACTAAACAATGAGGAAGACGTGGAGTTATGGCTGATAAAATCAGAAATGTTGGCCACAGACTACAAGTTCAGTCACGTATTCCTTGTTTCCATTTGAAGAAAATATTTCAATTTGAACAAACAAGCGATCAAAGTCATTTAGTTGTATATATATATATATATATATATAATTGTTATAGTGTTTGGGTTTTCCAGCTGACAGCGCTCAGCATATTCAATGTTTCCACGTCACTCTGACAGCATTCAGTTTCCCCTTCAGCAGCTCTGAGAGTCAGGACATTTTTCCCGTGATAAACACTCCGTATACACGCTGTGTGTGAGTAGTGGAACAGGTCATTTACTGGTGAATAATAACAGGCCTTTTTTAGATTTAGATTTGGATAAAGGGGGCGGTTTTGTGAGAAATTGATGGTTTTGTTTTTCTTCAATTTGGATGGATGGATGGATGGACTTTGTTGTTTTTGTTGTTTTTGGCTCTTACACATTTTGACAGATAAAGACTTTTTGTCAAAGAAAAACTACAGAAAAAGAGTATTTTTTATTCCAAAGCTATTGTGTGTTTGAAATCATTTAGGGTGAGTTATTCATTTAAAACTGTGGGTCTGGATATCAGGATTTTGGGGTAGAAATATGTGAGCGAGTTTTTTTGTTGTTTTTTTTACTCAGGAATGAAAAATATTTCATGAAATTTCACATGTTAATGGTATGAGGTGCCAGAGAAAATCCACCCATTTTAACAAACTGAAGTAATTTACCAACTGATTTTTACCTTTTCATGGAGCTCTCCGTTGGTTCCCTCCAAAGCCTCTCCATTACTGCTCAGCAGCTGGAGAGAAACAGAGGAAATTTCATATTTGGTGTGAGTAAAACTCAGAAAATAATAAACAAAAAACAACTTGCATTCGTTTCTTAAAGATGTAAGAAGAAAACAGCAATCCAAAAAAAAAACAAATGGATGTTTCTTGTTTTCTTTAAGATAATGGCGTAACTCAGTTTATGCGACTATAATGAGGATGGAGAAGAGCTCCACTAAAGTCAAACAAGTTCCACGAGACTCTCAAACAACTCCACTTAAAGAAGGACCGGACTCCCAACTTGGGTTGCTGAAAGTAGCTCTAATTAAAAAACTTTTAACAGTTTGACTAAAGATATAAAGACTAGAGTTGCCAAGTGGCTGATTTTGCTGTGTTTGGAAAGTTTGAAAATCTTTTCCCCGAGCCAAGCCAACCCGAGCAAACAAACTTCTGGATGTGGCATCAGAGTGGAATCCCTCAAAAAATCTCACAAAGGACTATTTAGACAGTATAGAGGCAAGTCCGTGGATGTTTAACCTTTTTCGCTGCTGATTACATGACAAAAACAGTTCCAATTTTGAAATGCGTTTCAATTTAAATTTCGCCCACCAGCTCAAAGCCATCAACTCGCATCCTGGATCAAAATTCCCGCTGGTAAAAGCCTGTAAACTGTTATCCATCAAGCCGAGGCTGTCAGGCCCGTCGCCATAGCAGCGGCACATCCAGCTTCAACAAGCTGTTTTCACTGATCCGTTTCTGCGTGAGGCGCTTTCTCTCAGACACTCAGCTTCTCTAAACTCGGCCCAAACAGCCCCTGACTGTGCAGCACAGGGCACGTGCACGCGCATGTGCATGCACGCCGGCTTCTGCTCTGAGCGAAGATGAATCTGCTGCCTGATTTATATGCAACCTCTGACTGAGTTTGTTGTTTTTATCTCTCTCTGCAACACAGACTCATCTGTCAGTCTCACCTTCAAAACCATTAAGTACCGCATGCTTTTCCTCACTGATCCACTCTCTTCTTTTTACTGTTTCTGTGCACTGATGGATATTTTATACCCATTTGAAACAATTATTAACCTTCATATTTCATCTATGAATAATAAAGATGGTTTGAGCTGGGGGGGCAAAATATATAAGGATCTTTTAAGCAATCAGTGGGCAGAAACTGGAGGAGAGTTGACTCAAAATTTGATCAAAGACAAGTGGATATAACAAAGAAAACCAATTAGATACATGCTCAGACTGAAAGCATGCAAAACAATGATGTGGACTTTTGTTAAACTTTCGAAAAGTTCATGTAAAGTTAATCATCTGATCTTTTGCTGATTACTTGATGTTGTGCGTGGCCCATACAGAGAGATCCAGCAGATGACGCCTTAAAACTAAATTCACAAACGATTTTCAACAGACTTTTCTGGCATCTGACCGAAAATGGAGTTTGTTTTATTTAACCTATGACAGAAATACTCTTAAATATGCGTAATCAGATTTTTGAGGCCGTGGTTTACCTCAAATTTCAGGACTTTTACATGAGCTGATGACCAGAAAAAAACTCCCCTCTGTTTGGACTGTTTGATTTATCGCTTTCTCTCTTCAGTTTGAGGCCTAATAACAGGGTTACAGTTCACAGCCGTGACATCAGAGTTACTCCCTGGGTGGCTATTTGAGTTTAATACATAGATAACTACACTAACAGATGTTCAAAAAGACATCTAGTTTCTTTGTGGAGAGGGAGGCCGTGGTCTGACTAAAGGGGATTATGATGAAGGGCAACTTATAAAAGCTAGTCGAAGGTGTCAGTGAGATAAATAAGTAAGATAAGACTTCTTATCGACATTGTCCTGGATATGAATGTTGCTAAATTAAGACCAGATCATGGCCTCCTGCACTATGTACAGTTTTCTTTAAAAGCGCACATTAGTTGCTAGTAGTTTTTTTGTCTTTTACCCTTCTTCTATCACAATGAAGAAACTGTAGACAGGGAAAAAAGCAGAAATAAGACTTTCAAACACACCTTGTCTCTGAGGGAGAGCACCTCCCCCTCCAGGTAGCGATGCTCCTCTCTCGCCTGCTCCAGCTCCGTTTCTTTACTCGACAGCTTCTCCTGCAAGCTCAGGAGTTGCTGAAAGGCAAACGAAGACATGCAATTAGCTGTCAGAGAGACTCAGTTAGGATGTGAAGCTGCTTACAGCGAAGGCGTGTCTGCAAATGTAAGAATTAAACATAAAATGATAAAATGCTACTGTGAATGCATGAATTTACCAATGAAAACAGTGCGTAAATGGCTTCCTTTGTCCGAATCCTATTCTTTGAAACCCTTTTTTTTGTTGAAATTGGATTAATATTATTATATTATATAGGAAAATGTGCAGAGATGTATTACGTCAACATGCTGATGCATTGAGGCTTAAGCACCATCTGTTTAGGGGATAATTTTAGAAAAATTGAGCTATATGACCAATTTTTATCTTTGATTATAAAAGGATAGAGTTTCATATGTGCTGGATTGGTAAGAGGTTTTCTGGCTAAATATGCAGTAGGCTCTGAAAATGTACATTTGCCATTAATCTCCTTTGGGACTCCAGGGCTGAAAGACTGTTCTTAGTCTCTGGCTGTAATGTGTCAGTCATGCATGTCAGTTTAAAGATGTCTTCAACCCAAATCGGGTGGGGAAATGATGTCACTTTAGTGGAAAACACCCTTGTAGTTTGCTTGGTCCAGCCGTTTACTCATATGTTTATATCTGTACAGCTGAATTCTGAACAACAGAATTTGGTTCAAATGAAAGCGTTTGGCAGCTGGCAACAAAAAATATTCTACTCGTGTAATTCGGGGCTCACAGATGCCCGACTGGGCTCTGTTGCCTCATTTGGAAAAAACCTCTTTTGAACAGTTGGGCTTTAAAACTGATGCCCACTGAAGCACCACCATGCACAACGCTTTTTTTTCGGTTTTCTCATCCCAGATGCACGTGTAGAAAAAAAACGACGGCAGGTGACAAACGAGAGGAGACAGATGGGGGACTTTCTGTCTTCCCCTTCAGAAGTCAAGTTGGCTTTGCATTTTGCATTTACAACGAGCCGGCAGGGCGGGGCGCGCCCGTTTTGCCTGTGTCTCCATCTATCAGCTCTGTCACTTCAAATAGAGGAAGACGAGAGGTCCAGTCCAATCAGGGGAACTCGTGCTCCCCGTGCTGGGCTGTGAAATCAGTGGAGTGCAGGATTATTGGAGACCTCCGAGTCAGCCGCTGTTTATTCGTCTGTTTGCTAGTTTCAGCTCGGCTCTCTGGTTTTTGGAGATAAAACTCATCTGTGGTTTTCACGGGCTCTGCAGCACCGAGGAGCCGATAGGCCTTTGCTCAGTAGCATGCTGGAGCGTAGAGAGAGGAGAAATGGTTGGTTGTTTTCCCCGGTTCTGTTCTGAACCCTTTTTCCACTCTTTTGGGTCATTAAATGAACCTGTAGATGGGCCCTAAGAGTTGGTGCCTTTCTAAATACATCACGTCATATTTAGAAGGCTCTTCCATTTGTTTTCATAAGCTTTAGGAACAAAACACAACAAAAATGACGACATATACAGCACAAACCAACAGTTTTGACACACCTACTCACACAAATTAAATGAGATTTTTAAATGTAAATGCATCTTTAAGTATAGCGGCTAAATGCATAAGGGTATGTAGCTTGAAGGGAGTTTCAATAAAGCATAAATAGTATTCAAATAAAATGTTCCAAATTGCCTGTTTGTCCAGAGAAAATGGATGCCAAGAGTAGGAAAACACCCATTAAGTATTTCTGTAAGTCTTTTTTAATAAACTGATAAATGCTGAATTCATGCTATAAATTATTTTCAGAGCATTCCGTACATAATTTTCCCCCTCAAAAACCTAAAAGCATAAGCACAAAGTAATTACAGCGCTGTGCCCTGGAGGGTTCTTTTACAGGGTTGCACAGCATGGCACATTAATCAAGAGGGTGTCTAGCACCACAATGACTTTGTGCTTCTGGTTTTTAAAATGTTCAGAGAATTTATATTTTAGAGGAAATATCCACTAATTGTACCTAATCTCTGGTTTGAAGTTATTTGCACCGTGACTACACTTTTCCTTTTGGTACAAGTAAAGATGATCATCTTTGCTACAGAAATTCAAATTTACTTCAAGTTTAAAGATGGAAAGAGCTTTCTGAATTTCAGGATTCTTCACATGGCGGCACTGTAAACATAAACATAATTAATTTCTGGTTATTCTTTACAATAAAAACTAAGGAATGTTTTTTTCTGCTCAAATATGGTCATAATATAAAGTAATTAAAAAGGATTGGTAGATTTCCTTTGTTTCTACTCGACCCCCTTGAAATGTGGAATAAAACCAGTGTCATGAATTAAATCCACCTGCCAGCCTTGTGCATGAAAAGACTTGGACATGAATTATCAACTATTTATTTAGTGGAAAGGGTATAAAAGTTGCCAATAAAAGTCAATAATAACAGTCAGTGGACTTTAAAATGATAAAGAATCAAATAGTATGAACCTTCAGAAACTTGTGTGTGTGTGTTTCTTCATATTGAATTTAAGTTTTTTGTGAATATCATGGTGATTGAGAGCTCAGCATCGGCTAATTTGATAGTTGTCATGGGAAAAGCTTCAAAGAAATTTCCTGGAAAATACATAATTACTGCAACATGAAGCTGTAATGATGATGTCATCCAGATAATGTGACCTAAGATGGCCCGGTTGATGTGAGTAGTTGGACCAATAGGTGATGATGAATGCGTACCTGCTGCATGCTGTGCATGCTCTGCTGCAGCTGCTGGATCTGAGCCTCGGCGCCGTTTGCGTGAGCGTGCGTTTGCGTGTGAAGGCGATCGTCATCTGGGCGGCCGGCTCCTCTCTGCTCCTTCCTTAAGAGATCCACTTCGTTCCTGTAGGCATCCAGCTGCCAGCGCAGGGAGTCGTTCTCCTCCCTCAGAGAGGTCTGAGTCTGATCACAAACTCCTTCAGGAGGGGATGAGAGGAGATCAAAGAGATGCTGAAGGCTTGTCCAAGGTTCATTCGACAGTTTGTTATCGCCAGCCTTTCAGATGCTGCTTATTTCTGAATTTGAACTGTGATATCGTACCATTTTCCGTATCCGCGCGTATCCTCTTGCAGGGGATCTCATCCGAATCATCTTCCGACATCTCCATCTCCTCCTCTCGCCTGATGCCCATGATCTCCTCGCTGTGGGCATTTCTCAGCTCCTGAAAACAACACAACAAGTGGACGCAAACACGGCGACAACGGTCCTCAGCACAGCCAGGAAGCCGAAGGCGTGTGCAGACGGAGGCAGGACTGTGCCTGATTATGTGGTTCTGAAAGGTGCTAAACGACTGGAGCTGCTCCTGAGGTGTTGTACTGATGGCGGTATTAGTCAGTGGCCTCATTCTGGACATTTCAGATATGACTACTGAAAGTACCAAACATATCAGACATAGTCTTTTTGTAATATGTGTTTCATATGTTAAAGTATCTGAACAAACACATCTGAGGTACACAATTATTTGTAGTAACTAATAAATGAACCCCTTTACAGCCCTATGCTCATATCAGTGTAATGCAAATGGGGGCATGATGGGAATTGTGTGTAATGTGACAGGAATAAAGCACATCAGTGGTGATTCTGAATTATAATATACATAATTTTTTATGCTTTCAGTATACACTCACAGTACTCCAACGCTTTGAAACCCCAGTTGTCAACTCCCCACATTGAATAAATAAAGATCAAATGTAATCTTATCTCCTCAAAAAACAACCTCATTTTCATTTCTTCCTGCTTTCATGACCAAAATTTACTCTGGAGGCGAAATGCAAGAGAAGAGAAGGAAATACTTCAAACACGTCATTTAATTAAATCATCGTTAATCATTAATTCTATCATGAAAAGTAAAGATAATGAAATGTTTCTGCATTGCATTTCCTAAAATTGGTCAGATTAAATGAGTGAGAGGGACTCTCACTCCCTCTCTCAACATGCTCATTGTTGGGAGTTGTTGGGGTTTGAGTTAGTAGACCTTCATTTAGGAAGTCCACTGTTTGTCTCATAATCCATTTACGTCAATTTATTGTTGAAACAGTGTCATAGCTACAGATTGAACATACATCAAGCATGCATTATGACGCGCTTTGGCATCTTTGTGGCTGGAAAACATTCACATGTCTGCGGCTTCAAGAGATTTAAATGGCAATATTCGGACTTGGACATGCTCCTACATTCATGTGGGTTTCATGTAGACTTACCATAAATACTAGCCATTAAAGAATGGGCTCAGGAGGGGACTGCGTCATGCTAGGGATGACTATACTGACTCTCACGGGTCATGCTGCGCACCCATGGCTGACTCTTACCTCTTTTTCAACCAAAACTGCTAAATGTGGTGATGTTGAGCTGACTCAGATGAGGCTTCACACTTAATTACTTCAAAGGGTGGATTTGTTTGCTTTTAAAGTTGGTAAATTAGAGCATACAAATACAAAATGGCAGTGAAATTTGTTAAAGCTAATCAAATTTTGTTTTAAATCACTGCCTTTAAACCACTTTAATTAATCTTCTATGGAAAAAGGTTTGTAGAAAGTTGTTCCAGGGCACTGCCCAGCCCTAATTGGCATAAACCAGACCATAACAGCCTTTCTACCAGTGTTCTATCTGCAGAGGGCAGTGTGCACCTCCTGACTTTGTTTTATGCTTTTAGCTGAAAATATGAAATTAGAAATATATATTCACTTGAAGCGATTTCCATTTGTTTTTATTCTACCCCATAAGAGTGACCTAACCACTCTGCTTGTGCTTCAACAGGTTGCTAAATCCACCCTCGACTGCTGACTGGGCCGAAAACTGACAAATCCTTCGGCTTTTGAACGCTGCGTTCTCATGTTCAGGCTTGTTATCTTGATTTCACTCCGGATGAATAATTGATAAGAGACTTAACCCTGGAAATCACAGTTGCCATAGTAGCGCCTCACACTTTCGAGGAGACGGCAGATCTGTTCAATTTTTTTGGGCTGCGGGGGGAAAAGGAGAGGCCCAGATCAGAGGATGCCGTCGGTCTGCCTGTGAGGGAAAAGCTTCCAACCAAACAACAACAGGGACACGGAAATTGACAGATCATACGGGGCTGTCTGTCAGCTTTCTCCTAGAGACTCAGAGGTGATGGCCAAAAAAAGAAAAGCAGGACAGGGTGGGAAAGAGAGAATAAATTAAAGGTATACCAACCTCACACTGCTTGCGCCAAATGTCTATGTTCTTGCGCTGTGCTTTTGAGAAATGGTCCCATGCCTTTTGCCGGGTGGCGGCGGAGAAAACGGTGGTGATCTGCTCGACTTTGAGGTGAACGGGGGAGGAGTAAGAGGAAGGGGGGGAGGGAGGGTCAAGACAAAACAAGCCATTTATGTAGCACTGTAGCACTGACTGGAGGCTCGAGCAGCAGGCGGAGGAGAGACCATGGGCATACGGTGACCACAGGTGGAGTTTTCCACAAAAAAATACTCCTAAATTGTTACCTCAAGTCAAACTCTAGGAAATTACTCCTATTTTCTGGTTTAGAGACCAGTCAGAGTTTTGTTGTGTTTAATTTTGGGTCCCGTAATTGGGGACAGGCCATTTTTACAATCAAAATTCCATAAAAATGTAAATTACACGTATCATACAATTAGAATTATGTTGTATATTTCAGTTAGACAATGTTAAATCATAAGATGCAGAATGGTCTGGATCCTGGACGAGGCTGAGACCATCTGAAAACAAAAGCTGAGCTTCGAAAGACCTGGTCCTCTCCCAAAGGTCAAAGGTCAACAAACACTACAACAAAAAGCTTCTAGAAACTTGCAGACTGTCAAAAGAAAAGTGGACTCAGTAGGAAACGTGGCTCCGTGCCAACTCTGTCCCAATATGATTCAATGTCATCTTGTAATTATCTCAAAATGATTAAATCTCTCATCCTAAACAAACAATAACTTTTCTATGATCAGCTTTGAAGGAGCCTGCCTGCATAACATCTGTTTTTGTCACAGCCTCTGTTATTGTCCTTAAGTAGTTTGATGTGATACTGTAAACAGGATGGTAAAGGTAAATACTCCATTAAAAGCTACATTATTCATCTTCATTCCAATGAATAACGAAATAAGCAATACATTTTGAAAAAACAAAAACATGCTTCATGAAGAGAACTCAGTTATAGAAAGTTCTGGTTTGTTTGAGGCGTTTTCCTCGTAAACACGGCTCTTTGGCACAATCTGGGAGACAAACACAAGATCCTGCAGCAAAAGCCTCCTTACACTTTGAAGGAATTTCATCATCGTGCCTCAAGGCTCTAAAGATTATTTTTTTATTTGTATGCATGAATAATTTCAAACCATTTTCTCTGAATCAGACATCTAAGCGTCCCTCGTAGCAAACTACCCCAAAATATATTATAATTATACATCTCCTGGCTGTTCAATCAAATCAAACAGCTGGACACTGGATGACCGAGAGAAAGAACAAGAGTCCTTAAAGTCAGCGAGTAAGAGGAATTATGCTGGAAAAGTTTTTAAAACACTGTAAATGTTTCCACATCCAAACAACAGAATGATTGGAAATACTTCTCAAAGTAACTTTGAAACATGCGGCATCGTTCGGTGCTTTTAATCACTCCTTTTGGGACAGTTTAATCAACGTAAAAAAGATAAAAAGAACATTGTGTGTGTAATTTGACTCTGAAAGCCTGCCTCACCTTGACCTACGCAAAGAAGTCTTATCAGCAGTAAATATTTTGCCCTTATGTTTTTCAGGGGAGTCCTCATCCCCTAATCTTTCAATGCTGAGGTGGAAAGTAAAAAAACAGCCCAGTGCAAACTTTTTTTATGGTAAATAGGCTGAAACGTGTAATCAGAATGTGCGTCACGTGATGAGCAGGCCTCTCCCCCGGCTGGTGCTCCATACTTACATCCCCTCAGCTTCATTTCCATCACGACTGACTAAGGCGCCATTTGTACAAAATGAAGGTGACTTTTGACAACATCTAGATCAAAATCAGTTTGGTGACACATCCAAAGCAGAATATACGGTCAGTGTCGGAACCTGTCAAACGTTTAGAAGCCATGGTCGAAGTTTTACCTCCATTCTGTGTAAAATGTTGCCTTTTGCAAGTTTTGCTCTGATCTCTGAATTGCTTTTATTTGCCAAACCTGAATGAAAATAAAGGAATACCCGGTCACCTTGACCATCTGTGTTCATTGTGGTCATTGAATTCTGAGTGCTACTTCTTGGAGGAATAAACTGGACTTTGATCTTCAAAGAAAAAGATTATTAATGTACTTACTATACTCACCCCTTTGCCTCTCCCTCTATACGTCTCGGAATGGTATCTAATACTCTTAGATTACTTAAACTCGTGGACTCGGACTATCCATCCTGAGCAGAAGACTTTCCACACCAACGATCCGAGAAATAAACACTCTCTGAGCCATGGTTCTGCTCGAGATTTCTGCCTGTTAAAAGGAAGTTTTTCCTTGCCTGTGTCGCCCAGTGCTTGCTCATGGTGGGAATTGTTGGGTTTCTGTAATTCACTTCAGAGTAGGGTTTGACCTGCTCTGTTTGGAAAGCGCTGCGAGACAACTGTTGTTGTGATGTGGCGCTATACAAATAAAATTGAATTGTATTGAATTGAATTAAACACTCTGTGCTACCAACCTGGACCCCGGCGTCTTGCTCTCTCTTCGTAATTAGGACAGTCTTCCAACCATGACGACAATCTGAGCTTAATCAGATGCACCGTCTCTGCTGTGTTTAAGCCAACCGGGTCCCTCTCATTTATGCAGATTAAAATGTAAAGACGTGACGGGGAGTAACGCTCAAACGGGGATGATCTTTTGCATGAACGGCCTTCCGCCGCCCGCCGGCGGAAAGGTCAGAGAGCCTCTGAAACCTCCGTGCGAGCGACCTAATCGTCACAGCGCGGGGAGCTGGAGATAACCGGGCCGATGGCGAGACGGATGAGGGAGCGTTGTCATGGAGACTGAGGCGAGATGCTCGCAGAGCAAATGAGTTGGAACGAGGTTGGCTTTTAAGTGGATGCGGTGGAAATGGCTCGGCGGTCTGCCGCTGAGCCACGCCCTGCAGCGGGGGCCAAAGGGGGGGGGGCAAAAACCACCATGATGAGGAACACCGGACGTCTATCAAGAGATGATGTCTAATAGAAATGAGTTTTAATTTGGCTGCATTAAAAAATACGACATTAGATATTCTTACATTATTTCATAATTCTGATATGAATGATATGAAATATGACATTGTTTACATAGCTGCTGTCATTTTTAACTGTCAGTATTTAAATAGGACTCGAGGTTTTAGGCTCGGATCAGAACCGATGCTCGTTACCTCAAATTGTTTTATGGGTCTCCATGTAGTATAGTAACATAATCTGCAATAGCTCCAGCTATTATATTATACGGTTCATTTATCTAAAGTACATAAACTCCTCAATTTATACGAAATTTTATGGTAAAAACTGTACATGCTTAATTTTATAGACAATTATGTAACTTTTTAATAACCATCTCGTAAAGATTCTAAATGTTCTCGGCTCATCGGCAAGACGTGGCACGGAGGATTTTTCGGTGTGAAAAATAACAGCTTTCAAATCCAGCCCGTGGTGCTCGTGCCACCAGCAGATGCTGAGTGTGAAAGCGAGTGGCCTGATAAACCTCTGCCAAAAAGATTACAGCAGGACTTCTTCCCCCGCCTCGGATTTTCTCATCTCCCAGCGAGTCTTCTTCGCACTTCCATGTGTGGTTGACTTTTCTCTCAAAGTGCTCAGGGTATTTTCACTGAAAAGCTTTCTGGTACCCACTGCTAATAAAACAGAGAGCCTTTGAAACTGTTTCATACAGACAGTCATGGCTTTATAGCCTCAGTCTCCCTGAAAACCCTGCGTCGTAAGAGTGAGATGGCGTGTTTGTGTCATTTGCGTCTCTGAGAGGCTGCCTCACCTTCACCTGCACAAAGACATCAGTGAGCCATTCCTGTAAGTCCTCATTACCCAATCTTCAACAGGGAGGTTGAAAGTGAAAAACCCAGCCCAGTTCAAACTGGGAAAACTCTTTTATGCTCAAACATAGAGATGTAATGAGCAGGTGTCTCCCCAGGCTGATGCTCCATACTTACATCTCCTCAGCTTAATTTCCTTCCCCACTGACTAAGGCACCATGTCTACAAAATGGAAGGTGACTGTTTCTAAAAAAAACATCACAAAACGTAGTGATATATGTCACTTTCTTGTCTTGCAAAAACTGGCTACTGTAAATGATCAGTATATAAGTAAATGTGGGGAATTGTCCAGAACACCTTGTCCAAAATACCTCCTTTTGGAAATGGGGGTGATGTTTAATGTCTCCTGTAACTACTCCTCAGCATGTGGATAGAAACCTTCTATCCACACCGGTGTGAGGAGGAAACCATGTGTCAGACTCACCTGAAACTATCCAGCATGTGACCCGTCAGGGGAGTTCTCTCAGTTGGACTTAACGCGCAAAAGAAAAAGAGCTCTTACACTGTGTTAAAATGGCCATCAGGGCGTTCTTGAAGGCTTCTTTGGCGCGCTCCATCTCCTCCTCGTGCAGGGCTTTCTCACTCATCAGCCGGCGGACGTGGCTGTTGGCCGACTGGATCATGGAGTAGAACTGATTCGCAGTCCGGCGGTTCACTTCGCCACGGTCGATCCAGGTGAAGAGCACCGCCGTGGCCTCACTGAATTTATGGTCATCTGACAGAAGAGATTCGGAATCAAGCAAAAAAAAAGCAAAAAAAAAAGATTTAACCATATCAGTTCAGAAATTAGAGCTCATTTAAGTTAAAAATTGTAATTATAGCTTCAAACCACAAGTAGCCACAAACCAAAATGGAATCCAGGAGTAAATATTTAATCTAATTTGAACTCAATCATTCCATACAACAATCTCTGTTTTGTGTTGTGCTTTTTCTTTTAAATAACCTCGTCCATGAAAGGATGAAAGGATTGTGTTATAAACTGTGACATTTAATAGCACTTTTCTGGACTTGTGTGCCCAAAACTGGGCACGTGTGACTTACATATTGTCACATATCTTTAGACATGGGAACGATTCAGCATGGAATCAAAAAGACCTTAACATCTTATGCAATGAAAACTAAGATAGAAAAAGTAACGTCAGAAAAACGGGTACATTTTTACTTCCCGAAGGAAAAAAAAAAGGTTTGACATTCTTAGAGTACAAGGAGATCCTTGGATGTCTTATTAATTTTAAGTAAGGTTTACATAACAAATTAACTGACGTTATCTACACTTACTACTTTAAGCTAAGACAAACATTATAGCCAATCAGATGCAATATTGATATATGTGTATATATATGTATATATAGTGTTTGAGAGCAGTCCCTTTCTTCCAAGAATCCTGTTTGACACCAAATGGAGTCTGATATAAAAGCAGTTTTTTTGGGACTTTTAATGTTCAGTCAGCTAAACAAACAACAGAGTGCCAAGCGAGGACTAAAATCCATCTTTAGGGGCACCGATTGTTCGCAGCTTCTTGAATTGTGCTGCAACTGCTGATCACAGAAGGAATTTTGGATTTTTGACTTCTCGAGTGAAAGCTGAGAGCCACATTTGGTCTCAATTATTAGAAGTGGAAAGCCTTCGTGGGCTTCCATTGAGTGCATTCCCCCCCATTTGAATAATAATTGAACTATGCCATGGAGCCACTGACAACCGCAGAACAGAGTGAATTACAGAACATTTAATGAGCTCAATACCCACTGCAACACAACCTGTAAGAAGACACTTTCTTCAGCTCCGATAAAGCCCCATTCACTCACAGCTGCAGATTACAGTCACATTAAAGCCAGCACAATGAGGCGCTGCTTAACGCGGAAGAATGGAAGTTTATTTCCCCTGCTGTTCGAGGTGAAAAATGAATTCAAAAGGGTTATTGGCACAGGAGGCGTGCACGTTTATGTTAGGCTTTACAGGATGGATGAAAACCGCACCAAGGCAGAGTTTGCACAACAGAATATGTCAACAAATAGAAGCAACACGGCGCGGCTCTTCAGAGGAAACCCGAATCAGAGGGATGGTAGAGTTTAAAAATGATGCCAATACAAAGAGGTCTGCTTTGAGATTAGCAATGAGAAATATGTGATTTTTTTGTCTTTTTTTATAATCACAAATTTTTACACCTTTGTCAATTTTTTTAATTTTTAAAAATATTTTTCAACTTTAAAAAAAAAAAATTCATTTTTTTCATTTTATTTTAATTTTTTCATTCTTTTAATTTTTTTCAAATTTTCAAATTTAAATTTCCTCATACTATATAATGTTGCATCTTCGCACAGCTAAAAGCTCCACTCCACATCACAAAGGAAGGTATTTATAGAACAACCTCCCGACACATAAGTAAACATATATGTTTATGTCTGATACCACTGCTGACAAGACAATCATCAATAACACTAAGTGATATTTAATGCTACATTTTCCAGAAGACTCTAAGGAAGAAGAAAATATATCACTCTAATAACAGTAATAGCAGTAATAACAATAATAGCAGTTACAAGCGCGGCTCTCAGTGAGATTAAACTGCACAAAATGAATAAATAGATCCCAGCCTTTCAGTGTTCGCTGTCATAAAGGATGTGAAGACAAACAGCTCTAAACTGTGAATACAAAGGGATTTCAGTCAGGGCCGATAGGATTCAACCACAGCAGAGCGGAGGACACACGGAGGAGGAGGAGTGACCTTCACGCCCCCCCCCCCCCACAAAAATCGCTCATCACACGCTCCTCACCCCACACCTCATCCCATTCACTCCCACACTTTTGTCTCCCTCCATCCAATTTCTTCCCGTGTAAAGGAGGCAGGTGCAGGGCAGAAGAATCCATCGCTTGAAATTAAAATACGACACGATAGATATACGACTGCGCAGCTTCTGTGGTGGAGGAGGCTCATTCCGTGACTGAACATATTCATGTTCTAGTCTAAAGCAGGCAAAAGACACCCGAGAAAATGGAAAACATAACTCACATAAGCCACACTAACTCATTCTAGTCCACAGTTTCATCCATTCAGTATTTACTTTCTTCCAATATTCATCTAAAGAATGGCATATAGATTGAGCCATTAGCATGCTGATACACTGAAGTGGTGTTTTTGTATGAAATTGTGGTGTCATAGTTTTTTTTGTTTGTTTCCTGTGTCATTATGTTAATGCTCTATGATAATAATATGTCTAATGTCTTCAAAATGCTTAGTGTTGTCAAACACAAGCTCACTGGGTTCATGCAAATCTGAAAGATTAGCAGAATACAGATCCCTTTCATCACAACTGGACATATATTTTTTGGGAGAAGGGTAGCATGATGCTCATTGGAGAAACTCCAAACACCTTATGCCCTCACCCAGCTCCTGCGAGTAGCATTTTGCTGAACCCCAACTGTCATAAATCCTCCAGATTCTCCAAACCGAGATAGCTCAGACCACTTCCTGCGAGAGCCGGGAGTTCTGCTTTGAACTTCAAACGTCTGTTTGAAGTAGGGTCAACTCTGAATGCCACAAACCTTTTCTAATTAAAGAAAGTCGGGTCTGCGGGGAACTTTGGACCACAGGCTGTGTTAAGATGCATAAAGATGTTGCTCACAGATTTTGACACAGGCAACAACTCATCCCAACTCATTTCAGTGTGAGGCCACTCATGCTGATTTCTGACGTTGATGGTGACATGAAAAAAGAGGAAACTGAAAAGCAAATACAGAATAATCTGAGACAAAAAAAAAAAAAATCTATGGTTAAACACAAACTGCCCATAAGTGCACATCACCCTTTTAACACTGTCCTTTTAAGGTGAGAGTCCAAAGGTTTAAAATGGTTGTCTAACATGATAAAATTGGCAAAAAACTGAGCAACATTTTCTAAAGTAGAGTAGTAGTAGGCTCACCTTTCAGCTTCTCTGCCAGCATGGCCGCCTCGTGTTCGGAGAAGTGGACGATGGGCGGGGGGGAGGGCGGCCGGAGCCGGTCCTCGTGGACCTTGCGGCGGTGCCTCTCCTCCCGGGCCAGCAGGCGCTGCTGACACTCCCACTCGTACAGGTCGTCCCTGGCCTGGGCGAAGTCCACGTGGATCCTCCCAGAGTCCTTCTTATCCGTGCTGGACCCGAGGCGCATTCGATATCCTGGAGACGACACAGAGTTAGCCAAGATTTTACAGCTTTGGTTAAAAAAAATACAAAAATGGAAACAGAAAAGCAGAAAGAATATTCTGGGTTTTTAAAAAATGTATTGCAAAATGAAAGATTCTTATCGTATCTTAATAAAAATCAAACCGTGTAATTTGGACGTCTAGAATATCTCATTAAATATCTCTAAAAATATCAACAGTAGATTATTCTGAGTTTGAAAGACATTCAAAGCAATGATAGAAACAATAAAAAAATGCAACCAAGTCAGGTTTAAGTCATCCCAATCCCCCCAAAAAAGAGAGTGAAAGTGAAGCAGTCATTGATCAGCTTTTTAACTAACCTTCTTTGTCAGAGCATTGATTTAGTTTTTTAATTTTTTTGAATGCCAGATATTAAGGAGCACGCCCCAAAATGAGGTCACCTGACAGGTAGAGGGCCTTGTCCACCATGAACTCCTCGCTGAAGCGGATGTGACAGAAGTTCTTCTTGCTCTTGCGGATGGCGATGATCTCCCCGCACTGGTCGAACACCTCCCTGATGATTTCCTCCGTGGCGTTCTCCGGCAGTCCTCCCACAAACACCGTTTTACAGCCGGGGGGGCGCTCCCGAGTCGATGGAGGCGGCAGATCTGAAACGTAATGATGTTTCATCACAGATGTTTCATCACAGATGTTTCATCACAGATGTTTCATCACAGATGTTTTCTAGACTCTTAACATCTGAAAAATTCCTCAAGTCCAGTGTATAAAAAATAGAAAAAAAAGGTAATCAGAGCAAAATGTGCCAGGAATGAAAATAGGTATTCCTTTAGGATGAAAATTGTTAATCCAGAATTTCTCATTTTAGTCCACAGTGAAGAAAACACCTCTTTACCACTCTCAGGTTGTGAATAAAAAGACAAATAGACTTCTTTTCTGACCAGAAATAAAGACAAAAAACAGAAGAAATGTGAGGGTTTTTACTGGGGTTCTGAGGAAACAGAGTGCAGTTCTGGCAGTGGATGATCTCCTTGACGACGGGCACGTCGGGGGGAATGGGTGGAGGCGGGACCAGGCTGATGCCCGCCATCATGGGGTTTATGGGAGCGATGAGGCCCAGGCCAGGGTCGAATCTCTGGATACACAGAGACTCTGCGGGACAGATTCAGATTGGATTACTTCTTAAAAACCGAACAATTATAATAAGGACAGAGCAGAATCTGATTGTAGCCTGCTTTTTCTCACACGTTTGTCTGTTGCTGGATCTATTTTTACTCAAACAAATGACAATAACTGCTCTGCTGAGATCATGGGACTAGGATGGCTTATTTGGCATCATTCTGCAAATTCATGGAGACCTTTTTTTTTTAATATGGTAATTCACTGGGGATTAAGAATGATCAGGACATGTGCATGTTATGATGTCAGATAATCTGGTGACAGATTGGTGTTGCTTTTTGACATGCTATTTGGTTTTTCAATCAAAACAACATTTGAACCTGTAAATCCGAGAGCTCTGCGGGGTTTTTTAAATCAATGGCACGGCACAAAAGACATAAAAGTAAAACAGAGTTGCTGTCACTGTGGAAAAAACCCACGAAGCAGAAAAAGTGAGGACCGGATCTGTAATATAAATGCTATCGATGCGATCTTAAATGTCCTGATGGGGAAGATAGGAGAGAAGCTCGGGGAGGAAGAGATGAAGAAAATGTTCTTTTTTCTCCAGGATTAAAAGAAAAAGCGAGAGAGAAATAGATGGATGAACAGGGGAGAGCACAGGGGCGACAGGAGCCATGCTTCTCCTGTCTGGGTAAAAATAAAAGAGGCAGGCTGGAGGAGGGTGGTGCGCCATCGCATGTTCCCATCTCCAACACTGCAACAACAAAAGAGCGGGAGGGAACAAAATGTCAGCAGAAAAATCCTCCCCCACCGCATCCCGGCACAGCCACAGCGCCACGGAGAATAGAGTGATTCAAATCACAGGGGAGGGAGCCTGTCACATGAGGAAAGGACAAACATCCCTTATGGTAATTTTAAAGGAAATGAATGATTTTGCTCCTTGGCGTGAGCAACTGATAGAACGCGGCGTAGATCCACTGTGAAGGATTTTTACCTCAGTGTGTGAACAGTCAGCAAACAGTGTGTGAGGAATAATGTATTCTGTCCCTAAACCTGATTGTTTAGTGACAACAAGGGGCTGAAAAATGATTTAGCTGTTATTCATTGACTGTATATACTGTATATCATTTAAAAAAATATTTGCACCCAAGCAGTGAGTGTGTTTAATTCACCGTCCATCTGCTTTCCACACATGGGCTTTGTCATGGCAACATTTTAGGTTGACATTTGTCCTAATGCGGAGGCCTCTTAATCGTGTATCTACGAATTTGTGGGCATCTTTTGAACCAAAGAGGGCGAGTTATTCAGTGGAGGAAACCATCAACAGACTGCCACATCAGCAAAAATAGCATTCAAAATATTATGGGTGGAACTTTACCAAGTCCAGCTCCCTCCCACCATCCAGAAAAATCCCGAAAATGATCTTTACTTAAACAAAAACAAGTATAAAACATAAAAACAAACTCAAACGGTGCATGTTTAAAGTCATGTGGATCGAACTCAGCCAGTTTGATCCTGATTCAGCAGGGAAAGGGAAGTGGAAATGGTTTAATGGGAGAAAGATTGTGACCTCTATCTGTTTTTTCATCGATTCAGATTGTGAAATCCTCGTTTCTGGCTGACATTGCAGGTGAGTTTTACGGTCCTCGGGGGACGAGACGAGCAGGATTTCGCAATCTCAGAAAAGTAGCGAACACAGTTGGAAAATGTTTGAATGCGGAAACACTTGAAGTGTTTTCAAGGCTAGTTAACGTCAGATAAGTACTCCAGATGGATCATACTGGCCCCTCAGGTATCACTCCCCAGTCCCTGCAGGCTGTGATTGGTGCACATAAAGTAATTCACATTCTCTACAAGTTTTTTCTTTAGTTTTTGTGCTTTTAAGAATCCCTCAATAGGAATCTTTTTTCTTGTGGAAGATATATAGTTTAAGGCAGATGCTCTTTGGTTTGCACTTCTCAGTAATTGTTGAATATCTTTATTTTCAGCCAGCATTAAAGTAGACGGAGTGCTAGGGGCTAAAGAATGGCTAAATGCTTTGCGTGCAGCATTTTGTTTGGGAAAAAGAAGAAAGCTGTGCAGGCTTTTTTATCACAGAGGGATCTCCAGGCTTATAAAAGGAAAAATGATCTTCCATAAATCGGAGCACATGCATGTGGCCTGGATGCATTCGGAGACTCTTCAGGTCTTAGGAAAACTCATTAAAGCTCAGGCTGCGATAACCCTCGACAGGTAAATTACACGTCTTTGAGCCGCGCATTCATCATAATCACGCAAGGCTGGTTTTTGCTCACAGCTTTTCAGCCACGACCGAAAACGAGCCGAGCCAAGTTCATTACTCCGCCTGCCAGGGAGGAGCGGAGGAAGAAATACAGAGAGGGAAAAATAAAACACACACAGGAGGGACAGGAGGAATTAAAACCAGAACAAAGAAACGGAGACAGCGGGACTCTGACAGATGTGATTATTTCAGACCCGGAGCCTCCGGGAGGCCCGGCCTGCACCAGCCTCGCTGCGAAACATCTGGATGCAATTACCCTCAAGGTGAGAGCTCATCAGTCAGGAAGCACCCAGACAGGCAACATTGTCTTGAATTTAATCCTAATTCTAATGCCCATTCAAATCAACATTAAACAAGGACCTTTTTTATGTCCCTACGATCATTTATTTTTAAGCTAAGTAGTAGCTAATTCGATTGTTTTTTTCGTTTTTGTAGATGCCATCATTTTCTAAATGTCAGAAGATGGTGTCTTCTGATCAATGATTGATTTTATTAAATATTCAGCGCCAATTGAGGTGAAAATGAATTGAATAATACAACTTTTTAGGAGTAGCGGTTGCAAGAAAAGTGGAAAAACTGGAGCTCTCACAAAGTGCAAACATCTGCTTTGTTATTTGGGGGTGAAATGACTGTTTAGGCCACACTTAATGTTTAGGCCACACTGCTATAATTTATTTTTATTCAGAAGTAGCTTATTATATTATTTTTTTGTCGTTTTTTGTAGATGCCATCATTTTATAAAAGTCAGAAGAGGGTGTCTTCTGATCTATGATTGATTTTATTAAATATTCAGCGCCATCTGGGGTGAAAATGAATTAAATAATGCAACTTTTTAGGAGAAGCGGTTGCAAGAAAAGTGGAAAAACTGGAGCTCTCACCAAGTGCAAACATCTGTTTTGTTATTTGGGGGTGAAATGACTGTTTAGGCCAAACTTAATCAGATTCAGCTCCCTTCATTCGGTCTTCCCTCCGTGTTGCTCCTCTTTTCAAAACCCTGTCACGGAGTTGCAGCTGGTGCCAGAGGTGGAGTCACATCAGCATCACATCATCGCTGTAATAACGTGTGTCTTTTGACCGTTTCCAGAGGTTGTGTGTTGCCATGTTTAAGTCCATCCCTCCCAACAACAGCTCCCCTCTGGATTTTGCAGATTTTCCCAGTAAAGTCAGTGCCTTTAATTATTCTGAGCTTCACACAGAAAAAAAAACTCCTACTCACCAAATCCCTCCATGTGGCCATTTATTAAAAGCCCACAATGGTGCATTTACATTATGATAGCTCCTGCGTCCAGGGCTTTGGAAACACACACACACGCTCGGTGAAATAATCCCCACGTTTCAGAAAAACAATTTCATAAAGAGATTCTCATGTGAAATAAAACCCAGAGAAAATTGGAATGTGTGGCCACACGGAGCTTTGTGTAGTTCTTTTTCTTTACTGAAAAAACAAAGGAGCATTGTGTGTAGCCACAATCTACTTTATGGAGCGATGAGGGACACGTATTAATCAGATAGGTGCTGAGGACCTAACATGTGCTTATTCTCAGTTTGAGTCAGTCTTTGGTGGAATTGTATCAAGGACAAATGACAGTATTTATTGCATCCAGATGAAGTTTCTGCAGTGTTGGATGTTTGTCCAGCCCTGCCCTTTTTTTGGAAAATGTCACAGTCCATGCATCTGGAAAAAATATCTAAAAACAGCTGCTTGGAAAACAGATTTTTTATGAAAATTGCAGTGGTACAAACTGTTTTCATGCTATGAAAAAGGAAAGGAGGAAAGCTTTGTAGATAAACATGAGATGAACACAATAGTTTAAATAAATAATTGACGCCCATACGTGACAATAATTCTTTAAAGAGCATAGAATTGCATGAAATAGTTGATTAAAAGTTTAAATGTACCATTTGTAAAGCGTTCTCTGTTTCTGTCGGCTTTCGTAGCTGTAAATTGGACATGTTTGCATTTAATTTTCTTCCACATTTAAAACGGGCACTGGAAGGACATGACCATTTACTCACTTTTAAATTAGCTGTTTATGTATTTTTAAAAAGGCTGGCTCTCAGCCATAGATCTGGTGGACCAGAAGCATTTATGGACTCTGCTGGTTTCCACATGATTAGATATACTCCACATGATTATATTGTTTTTTAGCCCTTCTTTAACAGCCAGTCAGCATCAGCAAAAACAAAAAATGAGAGAAAACCAATGCTTCATTTGTGAGAAATATATGCCTTTATTGCCTCTTTAAAATAAAACTAATTAAAATCCATATACTGTTGTAGACAAAATAATCCAGAAAATAACTAAAGTTGGGAGCAGACGGTACCTGAAACCAGCTGCTGCCCGCTGATGCCCACCGGCATGATGCCCAGGTTGTTCATGGCTGTAGCCCAGGCTCCATGATCAGAAACAGGGATGCTCAGGTGGTTGTGCTCAGCCCCCAGACTGCCTACACCATCAGTTGCTGCACCACACCAGAACACACGCACACACCAATATCAGAGACAAGGACAAAAACTCACTCACTCACACAATACTTAGTTAATAAAAAAGAAATCTAATAATCCCTGCGTACGCTTGGCTGAAATTTGTTTAATCCAATTTGACAAGCAGAAGTTTCTTAAAGTCCCAGGTCAGAATTCTTCATTAATTTACGTTTTGTGATTTATATGTGTGCGAATAAATTCATCAGCAGAGTTCTGCTCCTCTTTCCTACCACTGGCCATAGCAGATGGTCGTCTCTCTGCAGTCTTGTCATCAGATCCGTTCTCTGGTTTACGGAGAGGTGGAGGGATGGATCAACGGAACATCCAGTCTGAACCACAATCAAAGTCTGAGGAAGAAGCAAAAAAAAAGGCACATAAATAGTTAAAATCACAGCAGTTAGAAAAGACAAGCACACCTTTTAGAAGGGAAATGAGTCATCACGATGCCAAACCAGAGACTTTCTTTAGGTGATTAAGAAAAAAGTAGAAATTTCAGCTGACTTCCTGAAAGGAAAAGCTGCTTAAAGCACACACACGCACACAAGAATGTGAAGGATACCTTTGAGTCATGTACACTGACAGATTGTAGTAGCAGTTTGTAGCAAACACACACACACACGTACACATGCTTGGTGCGCTGGTATCGGTATCAACACATGGAAGCCATCAGGAGAGCAAACCGACACCGTTCAGCGGCCCAGGCCAAATCCCTCACTGCTGTCAGACTCAGCCGCCTCCCTTTAATCCACATCATTAGCGGAAACCGTGCTGCCGGCGCAGCGGCACCAAACCGTGGCCGCCTCCTGTCCACTCCACGTCGGGGTTTAAACATCTCTGCCTCCGTCTGGACTTCACTCAGCCCAAACCAGACAAGAAACGTAGCAACAAATTCAGAATAAAAATGCACGGAGAAGAGACGAATGCTGGAAAACAGTGTGTTGTTTTGTCATCCAAACACAGGCTTAAAGCGCGTTGGGGAGCTGCTTTCCTGGTAGGGCCCCAACTGCTTTGTCAGGTCTATTTTCCCCTTCCCTTTCCCACCAAAGAGGCTTTTGCACCCTCATCCATATAAAGCAGGAGCTGTGATAGTTCTGATCTATAAAAAGAACCCTTCCGGGGGTACCTTCTGGCTCAAAGGGTGGAGTGGAGGGGGGAGGGGGGGGTCCCGATAGGTTGCAGATGTGGAAAGCATGCAGCCCACCTCACACAGGAGGAGACGTGATGGAAGCCTAACCGACAACTACATGGCACAGCACAGGAAAAATCCAATTTCATTTCAAAATGGCCGAACGGTTCATGATCTGTTGGGGATTGCCGTTATTAGCACCTGCGATATTTGAACTGGTCCATTATATGTAAAACTGATCTGTCTCAGACAACACGAAGCTCTGGAGAAGTTACAGGTGAGCCAAAAACATCCAAATCAAGACATTTGAATCAGACAATTGCATTTTTATATGAGACAAGTCTGGAAGCTGGAGGATTTATGGATGCATTTATATGAGATTCTGTTCTTCCAAGGTCAGTGAAGCAGGAAACCCAAACCTCTCTCCACTTTGGTCCTGTTAAAAAAGACTCCTATGGGATTAGAAATCCTGGAAAAAAGTCTTTTTAAATTCAGGTCTTTTCGATATCCTTCAAATGTTTAGTTTCTTTATGTGGAGGCAGTTTTGACGTGCGGAGAGTGTATCTTTGATGTGGGATTGAAAGTGTAAGACTAAAGCGACGGGGGCTTATCATGCAGAGCACGTTCCCTCTGACAGCCCACACTGCTCTGCAGCAATCACCATTCCTCACGTCTGACACCGGGAAACCAGCTGAGCCTCGCAACACATCCCGCTTTAATTGAGACACAATCATAACAGAGGCTTCTCATTAATGACTACACACCACAACATGTAGTTCAGGGGCCGTTGCGGCTAAAATGCCTCACAGGCTTGGAGTTGGAGATTCGGAATTTGGCTGGACATTTACTCTTTGTGTGAGACACGGGCGACCATTCAACAATGATGCATTCTAGTTGTACCCTGAAAGTTAGAAACTGCTCATAGTTAGCCTGCGTCTCTGTATGGTAATAACATCAAAAGACATGATTGTCAAGTGTAAGATGGTAACAAATCTGCATATCATGAAGAGAATGATAACATATAAAAGTAGCTGCATGTCGCAATTCTATCCCCAAAAATGTTTTTTTACCGGTGAGAGGTCATAAAGTGAAAGGACTTGGCGCTGCCTTGTTTTAGATAGGCCCTGGACCTACCGTGTCTTAGAAGGAAACCACTACACTTGTGTTTTCTTGATTTCCTTCCATAAAATCCACAGTGTCAAACACGGTGAATGTAAATAGAGAAAAGCAAGTGTGAACCTACATGGAGATCTGGTCATATCTAAAGACGCAAATTACTTCTCTTTTTGGAACTGATTGGAAAACTTCTTCATCTTGTTGGACTGTTTGTGAAATGTCTTGTGCTTGGATCAACATGTTTGTTAGACGGTTGGGAACTAACACACAGATGGGCACGTTTGCGCTATGAATCACGGGAAGCCCACGAAAAGTCAGAGGGACTATCTCAAAGGCAAAATTAAATCTCTGCCAATCTGCAGCTTGGTTAATCTGAAGACTTGAGACAAGAGGGGGGGGGG